ATGCCATCAGTACTCAGTCAATTTATGCATTGTCTGAAAGAGATCTATTTATTTGTAGTTGATAAAGTAGTGTAATATCTTAAAGGAACAACATGTAGAAGTATTTTATTTAAAAATAATAATAATATTAATGTTGAAGTTTATACAAATACAGATTATGTAGGGTGCATTATAGACCAATGTTCTACATCTGAATATTGTATCTTTTTCAGTGGAAACTTGATTACTTGGCATAGTAAAAAACAACAAGTGGTAACGTGATCAAGTGCTGAATCTAAGTTTAGAGCAATAATGCATGAGATTTATGAAGTTTTATGGGTGAAAGGAATCCTAAAAGATTTGAGAGTTAAGTGGATTCAACCATCAAACTATATTGTGATAATAAGTTAGTCATCAACATTGCGCATAATTCAGTTCAACATGATCATACGAAACACGTGGAGATAGACTGACATTTCATCAAAGAGAAGCTTGATAAAGGTATTATTTGTACACCTTATATAATATCTCATGAGCAGTTGACAGATGTGTTAATCAAAGGATTGAGTGAGACAGTTTTTCAACATCTCATATTCAAGTTGGGACTGGATGACATCCATTTATCAACTTGAGGAGGGATGTCAGAAGATGACTTTATGTTTTTAGGTAGATCCGGACCTGATTACAAAGAGCCTATAAATATGTTGTATCCAAGATAGTTTAGGGTTAATGATGTTTTTTCTTTCAGTCTTTACTTTCTTGTTCTCCTCTCTCCCTCTCTTCCTCTCTCCCTCTTTCCCTCTTTCCCTCACTGTCAGTGCCTTCTACGGTCCTCTCTCAAGGAGAGAAAAAGAAGGAACTAGCAGGTCTGAGATTTTAACAGAGTTAATGAATTTTGAGGCAATTTCTGTATTCTCCCCTTTGTCTTTCGTGATGAGATTTTATTTCTGCAATTCAACAAGGTATTAGAGCAGGTTCATTCCACTAAGATTTCATCAGCTCTTGTTTGACATCTCCTACCTAAGGGAGTGCCACTCCTGCCACCTCTATCACTATTGTTGCTGCCTCTCTTTGGTGTCAGTCTTATTTGGTGTCTCTTACTTGAGGGAGCACCACTATTGCTGTCTCCGTTTGGTGTCCGTCTTCTTTGGTGTCTCTTACCTAAAGGAGCACCACTGTTGCTGCCTCTGTTCAGCGTCGACTTTGTCCAACTAGGGTTTCATCGTAGAGCACTTCTTCCACCATTTGAGGCATATTATCTTTTCGCTGTTTATAGGCGTGATATCCTGCCACTTCGAGCATGTTTTCTTTCCGCCATTCAGAGTGGTTCTACTTTTGTTAGTCCTTGTTTAGGGACGATGAGTTTTTCTTCTTGCTGGAGTCACAAGTTACCATTGTTGTTGATGTCATATCTGCCAGCACTCCAGTGAGAGCCTCCTCTTCTAGTGAGAGCCTCTGCTAATGAGGTAGTTCTACGACAAGAGAGTATTGATCTTGCTCTGTCTCATATCTTCGAGAGTAATCTCCATCTGTCATTTGACAGTATATCTGAGTTCTCAACAGCAGGTTTGTCAATGACATCTTCAAGTTCATTGGTGTCATTTCTACCTACATCAAGCCTTTTGTCTAGAGGTTGAAATATCTAGGTTAAGTACCATTGTTTCCATCTTCATCAGCATTCTTGAGAGAGGTAAACTCAGTCTCTCTTATCAACGCTTGTCTCAGTCCAGTGTCGTACACCGTCCTCTCAATCTGACTCCCTCTGTTTTGTGTCAGTAATATGTCTTCCTTAGTTTGGCGACCAAAGTTCTCTACAGTCCACGTTGCTACAATCATGTTGTCTGGTGCTATCTACTCACCATTGCCTATGGCGTTCACCTTCTAGTTCCTCCACAAGTTCATTACTCGATCGGTGGGAGGGGTGCTGGCCTGTACCTCTCCTGAGCGCTGAGCCCTAAGACATAGCGACCATCCTGATTAAGTCACATGTGTTTGGTGGTATCATATTCATGGTAAGCTGTCCTTGAGGCATGACAAGCATCAGATGAGCCAAAGGTGTCCCGAATCTACAACCTCAGTGGTGGTCATCTTTGACTACTATGAAAGGAAGAGTTGCTACCAGAAGGGATTTTTGTCATCACCGACTTAGTCAAGATGACCTTTTTCAAAGTTCATCTTGAGGAGGAATGTTGGAAGTTTTAGGTCATAGGGAAATAGTGTAATTAATTGAGGGTGTTTTTGTAAAAAAAAAGTTTATTGTTGCTCCGTATATAATGGGGGTTCGAGTTGAATGAATCTTGAGGCGATTTCTATTGTTCTCAATTTTGTCCTTCGTGATGAGATTTTATTTCTCTATTTCAACAAGAAACACTGTCAATTTACTATTTATTATTCTTTTTATTCATAAAAGTGGGTTGGGTCACTTTTGTTTTTCTCTCTGTTGTTTTTCAAATGAAATTCCTAATAAATAGGTGATGATCACTTCCTTCGTTCAAAAGAGAATGAGATAATTTTGAGAAACTTAGGAGAGATTGAACATATCTATGGACGATAAAGTGACATAAATCGAGACTATCTATTACACTATTGAAAGTTGCGGTTCTGTCAAGTCCTCTTCTACTTGAAATATTGCGAATATCGCATGTGTTGACAGTTTTATTCTGTGGGGGATTGACTTGACTTCTTAATTCTTGTGAATAAATAACGTGCAGGTTAAATCTCAGAGCTAATGATGATCTGCTATGTAACAAAGCCCTCAACTCAAAAATTCCTTTTCACAGTTTGTAACAAAGCCAGTGGCCATATTTGAACAAAGGTGGGATGTTGCTAATTTGATGGATGATGTTGGCCATTTTTGTCAGATAGCTGCTAGTTTCGCTGAAATACTCTTATCTCCATATCAACGAAGCATGGAAACAAGGTTCTTTATTCCTTGTAAGGTAACTGTTAAGCAAAATAGTTTTGGCAATCTGGAATATAAATTTACAGTTTGGGTCTTTAATTTTGAAACCATCATTTTGGAATTCATAGAAAATCCCTGTGTATGAGATTCTCAACTCAAATATAAATACCTGGTTAGCCATTTAATTCATTCATTGGTGATTTCAAATATTGTTTTTATTGATGATCCATTGTCGTCGCAAATCAGATTCACGGCCCACACAAGATTTGCAAATCATCTAGCAAAAAATGTCTGCAAAAAATTAATAGCTTCAAGTGATAAATTGATCCAAACTTTAAAATTCAAACATATAAGACTCAATTAGATTAGATTCCTTGAGCCGCCATTGAGATATTTAACATCATTACTTTGCATCCTTCATGATTTTTTAATTAATTAATTTTCGGCTCATATTCAAAAGAATATTAATATGTATTTTATGCCTCACGAATATTTAACATAATTTGATTTTTTTTATTAGTCTTATGTGTGTTTCTCATCATCAAGGCTCTATTAATTAATGCTCCAACACCCGTGTGCTTCATCTTCATAAAACACCAACCAGCAGAGTCATTTTCCATGACTTAGAGACAAACTCAATTATGATTCATCACCAAGACTTATTCATGTGAAATGGTCCTTTCTTGAACTGATTCTTATGAAAGTAGTTGGGCGTAAGTAATGGATGGTTAAACAATTCCTTGTGGCCTGTTTCTCGTGGAAATGGATGGCCTGTTTGAGGGCATATTTTTCATCGTATCTTGGGGTCCTCCAAGACACCTATAAAAGGAGACTCCCAGAACCTGTGTACAAAATCAAGTCGAGTTCTCAGCCGTTGAGTGCCCTTCTTCTCTCCACTCATTTCTTTTCCTTCTTATCTCTCCCTTCTCTCCATCTTCTTTCTTTTCCTTACAAAACCCTGATAGCGAATTCATCGCGGCAGGCTCTCTCACCTACTCACTGTCTCACAAAATTTTGCCCCCTTCTCCTGTCGGTGGTCCGATTGAGATCCCCAGATGGGAAACGTGGTGGGCCATCTATAAACTCGCTTCCAGCCCAGCGTCGGAGTGCTAAGACTTATCTGTCCTCTCGATCATATCTGGTGCAAGGAAGGAAGGAGACGGTGAAGCGGAGATAGGCCCGAATCCCCCCCGCGCCTGTGTCAAGGGGTCGACGCTTACCGCACTGCTCTCAGTATCCGGCTCAGGATACCGGAAAAATGAGGACCTCCAAGCCATGACGGAAACGCTCCAGTCATTGGATTCCTCACTAGGCATTCCTCATCACGCATCGAGTTACTTTCAGCGGCCGGTATCATGCCAGACTATGGTGAGGTGTTGACGTTACATGAGCTGACGTCCCAGCATCTCCTCATCTGAAAATTGTAGTTCTAAGATATTTTCAGTGAGCGGAGAGGGTCGATGGACCAGATTTCTGTGTGGTTGATCCCTTCGACTATTTTACAATGCGAAGATTGAAGCCCAAACCGGGATTCCATGTGGTTGAGGAGCTCTGGCGGGCTGGAGCTCTGGTGAGGCCTACCCGGGATTCCATGTGATTGAGGAGCTCTGGCGGACGGGAGCTCCGGTGAGGCCCTCCCCGGGATTCCACGTGGTTGAGGAGCTCTGGTGGACGGGAGCTCTGGTGAGACCCACGCACGCTAAGGAACAATGACGTCCCATCGACGCCTCGTCGCATCGGAGCTCTGATGATGAACTTTTTCAAGAACAGGTTATATGACCCTGTCATTTCCAATGTTGCAAAAAAAATCTGTATGCTTTAGGGGTTTCGACTGGAGGAAAAACTTCCCAGCTTCAACTCACCTGCTACGTTGAGGAGGGAGTGTCAGCGGCGTCCACCACCCTGCCCCTGATCGCTCGTTTCTATTTCGGTCACTGCTACATTCTGTGAAGTAACCATGAACCCGACAAGGGTCTAGCCAGCCCATACCTTTACATCGTCATCGTTGGTCTTAGGAGCAATTTTATGTGGCTATGCGTTCTTTGATGGCGAAGTATTTTAATGTGTGGTGTTCCTTCACCAATGTGCTGACTTGTGTTGTATAGCGAATATCGGCTGGCTAGGATTTCCCCCTCTGTGCGCGGAGATCTTCCGCCGTGACGAATAGTCCGTGGAAGCTATACGGGACCCGCCGGGGCAGGGACACCTCGGCGACTACCTCCAGGTCCGGCGACCTCGCATCCATCACGAGGAAGCTCCACTTCCGGGTGTTCTCGTCGTGCAGGAACGTCACCAGGTACCCGTCGTCTTTCCCCTCGCCTTCGTCCGGCGCCGGCACGAAGATGAGCTCGCCGCCGAACCTCCCGGGATCGTACATTCGAGAGGCAGCCACGCAGTCGCCGCCCTTCTTCTCCATGTCAATCTTCACCACCCCAGCCACCATCGGCTGCGGGTCCCACAAGCCGAGGTAGGCATAGCGATGGCGGCGCCCCAGGTAGCGAGGGTTGATCACACCGAAGTCGAGGTTCCCTGAGGAGAGCGGGGTTCGAGACACGACCCCGCTCTTGAGGTCAATCCTTACCATCTCCACGCAGCTGACGGCAAGCTCCATCTTGTCCAGAACGTGCTCCAAGGACAGTACGTTAGGTGCCACCAGCACCACGGTGGCGCCGCCGTCCTCCTCCCACTCGTTGATGGTGTGCACCGGGTTGAATCCGGGCACGTCAAACCACCTGATGTCTCTATCGGACTCAGCGTACCGCGGTAATATACCGACTCTGGACACCTTCCCGGCATCGGTACCGAAGGGAAAGCCACCGCCGAACACCATCTGCAACGGCTGAATTACGATCTGGATATCGCAGAAGATGGCGTAATTCTCGGTGATGGCGAAGTCGTGCAGGAAGGAGGGCTGGCTGACGGAGAACAAGGGCACGTCCTGTGAACGAGAGCCTTGCACGTGGCCCCCCATGTTCGCATAACGGCATACGTTATGCGGTAATGCGTGTTATGCGAGAAGCGCTCTGACGTGTACACGTCAGAGCACGTTGTGCGGTAATGCGGAATTTTCTGCATGATGCGCGTTACTAGCCCGTTAGTTATTTCTTACGGTTATTTCTTTCCCTTGTTCCTTGTTCCTTGTTCCTCCTGTGTTTTCCTGTGACTCGACTCGTGAGGTGATCTCACCGGCGACGTCTTAACTGCCGTCGTCTCTCCGGCGAGTTTCTGACAAGTGGTATCAGAGCTCACAGGTTGCGGGCAGGGACTCGATCGCGGCAAGGTACAGCCGTTGGAATCGAGAACGCGCAATCGAGACGCGCTATGGCAGGAGGAAAGGACGGCGTGGTCCAGAGGGTGATTCGTGAGGTGAGCACCGGGACCGGGTTCCCAATGCTCACCAAGACCAACTACTCCGACTGGGCGCTGCTCATGAAGGTCAAGCTCAGAGCCCGGTTGCTCTGGACCGCCATTGAGAAAGGGGGCGTCGAACCCCATGAAGACATGCAGGCGCTCGACGCGCTCTGCAGCGCCGTGCCGCCGGAAATGTGGCCGGTGATCGCGAACAAGGAGACGGCCAAGGAGGCCTGGGAGGCTATCGCCACCATGCGGATCGGCGATGACCGCGTAGAGAAGATAATCCGCAGTGTTCCCCAGCGTTTCAGGCAGATCGTGGTCGCGATCACGATGCTGCTCGACGTGTCGACGCTCACCGTCGCGGATTTGACGGGTCGGCTCAAGGCGGCGGAGGATGCCTTCGAGAAACCGCTGTCGGCTATGCACCACGACGGCAAGCTGTACCTGACCGAGGAAGAGTGGGACGCACGGCGGAGGAAGCGTGATGCTGAGAAAACTGGTGGTGGAGGTAGCAGCAGCGTGACGCACCGTGGCGGACATGGGCGCGGGCGCGGGCGCGGGCGCGGCCGTGGCAGCGACAAGGGCTCGTCATCAGGCGGCCTGACGGGCAACTCAGGCCGGCCCAGCGGTGATGAGTGCAGGAGATGCGGGAAGCTGGGCCACTGGGCCCGCGAGTGCCGCTCCAAGCCCAAGAAAGAGCAGGCCCACCTCGTCCAGGATGAGGAGGCGGCCTCGCTCCTTCTCGTGAAGTCAACGACGGCCATATCGACGGCGCCGCCACCAACCTCCACTCCACCACGTTTTGCTGCGACTCCGCAGGCAGAGGATCGGCTCCGGCGTGCAAGCCCACCGCCGCCGGTAGCAAAAGGGGTCCCCGTCAATGGAGGGGCCGCCAAAGAAGAGGAAGCCAGGCGCCTAGACCCAGATCCACATGTCGGGTTCCCGTACGGCTTTCACCGAGCTGGACACGGCGGTACTTGGGACGGTGCGGTTCGGCGACGACTCGGTGGCGCGGATCGAAGGCCGGGGGGCAATCGTGTTCCTGTGCAAGAACGGCGAGCACCGGTCCTTCGCGGGGGTGTATTACATTCCCCGACTGACGACGAACATCGTCAGCGTCGGCCAACTCGATGAGGCCAGGTACCATATCGACATCGAGAAGGGGGCGATGAAGGTCCATGAGCCAGGCGGACGGCTCCTGGCGAAGGTGATGCGCGGAGAGAACCGGCTGTACATTCTCCACGCCAAACTGGTTGGGCCGGTGTGCCTGGAGGCGCGGGGAGTCGAAGAAGCTTGGAAATGGCACGCGCGCCTCGGCCATGTCAACATGACCGCGCTGCGGAAGATGGCTCGAGAGGAGCTGGTGCGCGGGTTGCCGGCAGTTGGTCAGGTGGACCAGGTGTGTGAGGCGTGTCTCGCTGGCAAGCAGAAACGGTCGCCGTTCCCCAAGCAGGGAGAGTACCGGGCGCGGCGTGTTCTGGAGCTGGTGCACAGCGACCTCTGTGGTCCGATTGCGCCGGAAACGCCACACGGCGCCGTACAGCCCGCAGCAGAATGGCATCGTCGAGCGCAGGAACGGCACGGTGGTAGCAACCGCGAGGAGCATGCTCAAGGCAAAGGGGCTGCCGGGCTGGTTTTGGGGTGAGGCAGTGGCAACTGCTGTATACATCCTGAACCGGTGTCCGACGAAGAGAGTGGACGGCATGACGCCTTTCGAGGTATGGCACGGGAAGAAGCCGGCGGTGCACCATCTGAAGGTGTTCGGATGCATCGCCTACGTCCTGAACACGATACCGCATCTCAAGAAGCTGGAGGACCGCGGCCGCAAGATGATCTTCATTGGCTACGAGTGCGGATCAAAGGCCTACCGTGCCTACGATCCCACCACGAGGCGTGTCCATGTGACACGGGACGTGGTGTTCGATGAAAATGCCCAGTGGGACTGGGGCAGCGGCGCGGAGTAAGGGGATGCGGGCAGCCACGACGACATGTTCACATTGGAGTATGCCGTCGGGAACCAGGTACCTCCGGAGCTCGATGGCGCCATCGAGGTACTTGATGATGATGCGCCGGGACCGGAGCCGATGTCGCCGCCATCCGTGCACTCCAGTGGGGGAGCGGTGCCGATTGAAGATGGAGGAGAGGAGGTGGAGTTCGCCACTCCACCCAGTGTCCACATTGACCACCTGGATGTTAATCACGATGATGCGCCACTCCGGTTCCGCAAGATCGACGACATCGTTGGGCTGGCCTCACCGTGTGGTCTTACGTCGCGGGCGTTAATTGCAGAGGAGCTGCACGCTGTAAGTTCTGATGAGTCGATCTCTTTTGCTGAAGCAGACGGCCACCCGAGCTGGAGGAAGGCTATGGAGGAGGAGATGGTGTCGATCGAGGAGAACCGCACTTGGTCCCTGGTTGACCTCTCATATGGTCGCCGGGCGATCGGGTTGAAGTAGGTGTACAAGGTGAAGCGGGATGAAAACGGAGTTGTGGCGAAGTACAAGGCGCATCTAGTGGTGAAGGGCTATGCGCAACGCTAGGGGATCGACTACGACGAGGTATTCACACCTGTGGCGCGGTTGGACACGGTGCGCCTTCTCATCGCTCTCGCGGCACACGAGTGGTGGGAGGTGCACCACATGGATGTCAAGTCGGCGTTCTTGAATGGTGATCTCAAGGAGGAGGTGTACGTGGAGCAGCCGGCCGGTTTCATCAGCATGGGCAACGATCACAAGGTGTTCAAGCTGAAGAAGACACTCTACAGCTTGCATCAGATGCCTAGGGCCTGGAACGCGAAGCTGGATGACACGCTATTGTCGTTCAGATTCAGGAGTCCCTCAGAGCACGCCATCTACACCAGGTAGAACGGGGAGGCGCAGCTAGTGGTCGGGGTGTACGTCAACGACCTGGTGATCATCGGCACCAGCTGCGACGACATCAAGTAGTTCAAAAAGGAGATGGCTGACGCATTCAGGATGAGCGACCTCGGCTTGCTTCGCTACTATCTCGGCATTGGAGTCAGGTAGAGCGTGGGGGGCACCTCGATTAGCGAAGGAGCCTACGCCGCCAAGATTCTGGAGAGGAGGGGCATGGCAGGGTGCAATCCTTGTCAAGTACCAATGGCAACGTGTCTGAAATTGAGCAAGAGGAGCACGGAGCCGCTGGTGGATGCAACAGCATACAGAAGCATCGTGGGGAGTCTTAGGTACCTGGTCAATACTCGTCCAAACTTGCCATTTGTTGTTGGCTATGTGAGTCGTTTTCTGGAGGAGCCACGTAAGGATTACTTGGCCGTTGTGAAGCAAATTCTCTACTATGTGGCGGGAACCAAGAGCTGGGGTCTCAGGTATAAAAGAAAGGAGGAGCAGGTCTAGCTGACAAGGTTCAGCAATAGTGACTTCGCTGGTGATGTTGATGCTCGGAAGAGTACGACTAGAGTGATTTTCTTCTTGGCCAACAGCCTAATTACTTGGCAGTCGATGAAGCAGAAGGTGGTGGCTCAATCTAGCTGCGAGGTTGAGTACATTACGGCCGCCATTGCTGCCTGCCAGGGTGTGTGGCTCACTCGGGTGCTAATAGAGGTACATGGCTTAGCACCAAGCGTGCCGAAGCTAAGGGTAGATAACAAGTTTGCCATTGGGTTGATCAAGAACCCGATTCTTCATAGACATAGCAAATACATTGAAGTGAAGTATCATCTTGTCCGGGAATTCGCAGAAAAAGACTAGATCAATGTGGAGTTCATCAGGAGTGAAGAACAGTTAGGAGACATTCTGATGAAGTCACTCGGAAAAGTCAAGTTTCATGAGTTTTGCGTCAAGATTGGCCTCGTTGATGTTCGTGGTGAGCACAGCAAGACTCAAGAGGAGATTGTGAATGAGAGCCTTGCACGTGGCCCTCCATGTTCGCATAACGGCATAGTACGGTTATGCGAGAAGTGCTCTGACGTGTACACGATCAGAGCACGTTGTGCGATAATACGAAATTTTCTGCATGATGTGCGTTACTAGCCAGTTAATTATTTCTTACGGTTATTTCTTTACCCTTTATTTTCTTATTTAATAGGACTGTAAGAGCTTTTTTAAAGAATTAGAGAAAGTCTTCCTTGTTCCTCCTGTGTTTTCCTGTGACTCGTGAGTTGATCTCGCCGGCGACGTCTTAACTGCCGTCGTCTCTCCGGCGAGTTTCTAACACGTCCGGCTGCTTCCTTCCCTCGGCATCAATGCGGAAGTAGGTGACGAACGGGGGCACGGGGCTGTACCGGAAAGCAGAAACCTCGCCGGTGATGGGGTCCTTCTTGGGATGGGCCGTCGTGCCCATGGAGAGTTTACCCCCGAAGTCCCACCGGCCCATGGTGGTTATATCGCCGGATGGGGAGAGGTGAACGGCGTAGGGGAGATCCGGCTCTCCGAGGGCGAAGAGACGACCACCAAAGTAGGCAAGGCCGGTGTTGGCGAGGCCGAAGGCTGCCGAGGGATCCATCCGTCCTGTGAGTATTCGGGAGATGACAGCAGCGCAACGAACGAAGCCAACGACGCCGTGGATCCCCGAGAAGATGTTAGGGAAGACGTTCCTACCGGCCTTCCGCTCCACCAGGTACCTGCAGGTTTGTACGTAACGGCTACACAAGGTAGGAGGGGCGGTTTCCTCGCCACTTGCGGGGAGGTGGGGGCAGTGAAGTATCCCCTCGCCGTCGAAGATGTAGCGCGTCCCGCTAGGGAGGTGCTGGGGGTTAGGCCCATTGCGGACGTAGGCGCCGCCATGGAGGGCGAAGGGGATTCTTCCCCTGACGACGGGACAAGGTGTCGGGGTAGCTCGCCGACTGGGGCCCAGTTGTCGGCGAGGACGTAGGGGGGGTCAGCGGAGGGGCTGCGGGCGGCGGAGTCGATGGACTTGTTGACTATATGGCGTCCAAGGAGTTGCTGAGGGAGTTGGCCAGGGAAGCCCTGGGCGTCTCCTTGGTCGGCCTCCTGACCACGACGGCGGGGAGGGTCTCCTTGCCCTGGGTTGTGGTTGTGCTACTCTCAGATGGAGGCGCTCCTCGTTGAGAACTGCGGAGGTGCGGTGCAGGTGATGGCTCAAAGGGAGGACCTTGGCGGTTGAGTAGAGGCTGTGGGAAGAGGTCATGGCGACGGTGGAGAGGGAGGAGGAGAAGGCATCCATCGCGGAGGGCACTGTCACTTATTCCTTGCCCACAGGACGTTGCCCGCTTCCACAGCGTTGCCCACAGGAGTAAATTATTCCGATTGAGAGCCGTAGGTGGGCTGGGCTATATATAAACTCGCCAGCCCACTGGAACAATAGAGGCATTCTGTGACGACGACTACGACTACATGTGCATCGAGTGCAGTGGTTTGAAACCAAGCTACCTTGACCATCTTCCGAAGTTATAAATAATTTACTGATCAAAGGCTTCCGTCGCGGACTGCTCTACATTCAGCCACATCACATCAAAGTGACCTCCGACGCGGTACTGACGAGTCGACATGCTGACGTCCCCTCACAAGCGAAGAGTTTAAACTCATCTAGAACCGACGCACTGTCAGATTTGCTAATCATATCAATTTTCTCCATCATCGTCGTAAGAATGCTGAATTTAGGTGAAGAGGTGGTGTCAGATGAGTTGACGTCTCCATCTGACAAATAACTTGGGGAAAATATGAGTTCTGAAAAAAACCTAAGTGAGTGGAGAGGACCGACCTAACGGCTCCCATCTTGAGCCCTGCACTCGTTTAGAACGGGAAGATCCAGTCCCGCCCTGATGTCGAGGTCTGGGAGAGACGACAAGGCTTGCGGGTCCTGATAGCTGTCCACCATGATTTCAATCGTGAAAATAAAATTACATCTCTTATACGGATACATGAATATCATATTAATTTTAAAATTAACAAAATAACACAATAGGCTTACTCAGGGTTATCGACAGTCACAAACTTTGTGGACTATTAATCAAAGGAATAAGGTGATATGGCAGATATAATGTTATTGTTCCTCAACATATAAAGTAATGTCACTATAACTTTTGAAGAATAAAATGGACCTAGATCTTCAACTTATGTGGCTAATTTGTTTCCACCACAAATATTTCTATATTTCTGTACCTTGTACATAACAATATGTGGTTTGTAATGTCACTATAGCTTCAATACATGGTACTAGATCTTCAACTTATGTGGCTAATTTTTTTCCACCACAAAATATTTCTATTTTTTTGTACCTTGTACAGAACAATATGTGGTTTGTAATGTCACTATAACTTATGTGGTTTGTCATGTCACTATAGCTTCAATATATGGTACTAGATCTTCAACTTATGTGGTTAATTTGTTTCCATCATATTTTATTTTTTTTATATACCTTGTATATTTTCATAGCTCTTAATACTTTCAACCTGATAATTATAAATTAATAATCACATCTATGAATTAATATTGTATATATAGATGTTAATTAGTAGGTAGAGAATGTAATAATATATGTGTTACCGACTCATTATGATATTCATAATATTTTATTATTTAATTCCTAATATATATTATTTTATTTTATTGATATTATGCGACTAACATCACTTCACTTTTATAAAGTAAAGTAGTGATTTTCTCACATTTCTAAATAATTATTTGATTGCAAAGACTTAGGTGAACTCTTATTATGAGTTAAAAGTAATAGAAAAACTCCGAGTTTTCAACCTAAGGAAGTTCAAGTCTTATAGAGAAGGCCGATCTCATATATTTATGGGTCCAAGAAAAAGCATCATCTTAGTTATGCCCATTTAGATCTTAAGTGACACATGACCTTAGCCTTAGCTCATTTAAACTTAAAAATGATTATCAAGTGTTGAGATCTAGGTCACTCATCTTAAGGCGTCTTAAGATAAGATCAAGAGAAGAATTAGAGCACTACCCTCATGGAAGAATCTAGGCCATTCACTAAGAGAGTCAGTTATTAATCATAACCGTCTATTAAAGAGGCCTAATTTTCTAGAAGTTTAAAGCCTCTCACCTTTCTCTTGAAAGATATTTTTTGGCTCTCTCTCTAATAATGGTTAGCCAAAAGTAAAAAGAGAAAAATCAAGACCTAGTCAACGACATTATCATGCTCAAGATCATTGTAGAGAAGAGACTACCTAGAGCATATTAAGATCGTCATGGATCAAACACTACTCAGCCTAAGACTAGCACACAACGAGGTCTGTGCAACATCTAGATCTAGGGCGTCCTTGTAATCTTCTCCATGTATAGATTAACTCTTAGTTTGAACTAGTTTTATCATTTATTCACTAACTAAATGCTTTACTCTTCGAGTATCATGATACTTCACTCACCACAAGATCCACCTTTTTAGGTGTCATGACGTGTTGAGCACTACAATATTTGCTTGTCGCAAATCGGTGCCTTGAAATATAGAAAAAAAATTAGTCTCACATGATATTTCTTAACAAAAATATCTAATGTATATTATAACACTATTTTTATGCTGACAAGACCCCAAGTCAAGTGCAAGCCACGGGCCACAAGGATGGTTGTCTACAGCTTATTATAAGAAAATAACTATAATTTAATATTTAATATTAAAATATTTATTTATATTTATATTTTTTTAAGGAAGAAATGCATTACCTCTTTTAACTTCTAACTTTAAAAATTAACTATATAATTATTTTTCTTCTAAGAATTAAAATAATAAACTATTGAAATAAAACAAACCAAAAACTAAAAATTAAGTATTAACAAGTGCATTTCAAGGAGCTTCATCCTCAAGTTCACATAGCAAGAGGAGGCTCTTTGTCCCATTCAATACACTATGAAGGGAATATGAAAAATTTATTGATGAATCATCTTGTTCTCAATAATAATTCATTTGTCAATCAAGATGATAGAATTTTTTTAAAAGAATTTATGATTTTTGTATCCAAACTCCCTTGTTATTTACTAATGATGATATGTGAATATCATCTATGAAGTTTTCTTGATAATTGAGTGATTTTGGTGGCTTGATCATTGATCAGCACTCTATAGAAAAAAATTAAGTTCAAAATATATAAAAGTTAAAAATTCTTGCTTTAGTAAGATTTGAACCTTCATTAGTCACTTGGCTTGGTGAGATAAGGTTAATGAAAGACTAGAGTACCCTTAAAATAGCAAACTCATAACCACATTTCTTTCTCACAACTTGGGAGTATTTTCGATATTATTTTGTTGATGTGTTCCAACTACGTGTTTTAGTCCCACATTAATTTTTTCAAGAGATTTTGGGTCCATATACCTTTGAGCTTCATTTTGTTTTCAAGTGTCCTCTCCTAAAAACATAATGGCTAAGACCCCCTAGGGAGAGGGCCTCATGAAATTAAGTGGTTCGCCTCCACAAACACAAGTATGTACAAACACTCCTTGCCCCACATCTGGCTAGCCTCTAGTGACATAGAAGGGAAGTGACACATATGTGCTATGTCTAGGTTCTTAGACACTTGAACCTCTAGCTTGTGGCTTCCTCAATTGAGCTTCCAACTTGCCTACAACACCCTCTAGGTTAGTTGCTAGGTCTTCGTTGACTAGTGGGTCCCCTATTTTTTACATTATTATTATTTTTCTTCATTTTATCTCTAAATATGAAAATTTAAAAATTATATAAAGTCACATAAACTCATATAATTAATTAAAATTTTACATTAGTCACATAAAATTTATTTCCTCAATGTAAATATAAATTTATTTATCTTGAGTTAATACATATATTATTAATTAACTCATAATAATGAAGACTTATTTATCTATCATCTATCATCAGCCCCATGATTGGTAGAAGGCCACCTAGGGAAGTCACCAGCCATCACCTAGATAGGGTCCTCATGCAAGCTTTTAGGACATATTGTCAACTCATTCCACAGTAACATCTCCAAGTGACCATGAAAATATCATCGAATGCAATTAAGTTAACCTATGGCACCATGGCAAACTTTTTGAGTGTTGTAGATGCCTTGGCATTCAACTCACTCCACAAAAAGGACCTTGTGGTTGCTCATGGGGTACTTGATTCTCTACCATCCATTGTCATCCCTAAGATTGGTTGAAGGTCACCTTAGGACGCCAATGGCTGCTGCTGATATCATCATGCAAGCTTTCCAGGTATGTTGCTGCCTCATAGTGCAGCAGAAACTCTAGGCAGTGGTAGAAGTGCTATCAAATGGAGTTGAGCTGAACTCCAGCTCCATCAGAAAGCTTTTTGAGTGTCACAGGTACATCTTTGTTGTCATAAGCTGTTCTTTTTGACTTGATTCTGATGCAACTACCATCATATCTTTTAGAACATTGGAAAAGTCAAATGCTTTGGCATAGTTCTCTTATCAATACCACATTGTGCCTAATCTGGTTTGGATTAATATAGGGTGCATTCATGAATTGCAATAAATCTAAAAAAAAGTTTAGTTCTAAATATTTTTTGAGAAATAATCTTTGGAGATGATATGATGCAATCCATAAAGATGACCCAGATTTTATCACACCATCCGGTGCTAGTTTTTAATCCAAATATTTTAATCAAATACTCTAACTACAAAGACACTAACCTTATTATGAAAGTTGACCAAAACATTCATCACTTCTTAACCAGAGTTTATTGATGTTATGATAAAACATGCATGTATAATGTATGTACAATGTTTTCTATGTTGATGATTAATGTATAATGACATCCTACAGAGGAAGATTAACCTCAGCGCACCAAGGTCAGAGGTAAAGGATCATGCAAGTTGGGAACTGTTCTTTCCTGTGATATCCTTTGCCATCAAGAATGTTTCCGGGCTATGTGTTCTGAACGTGTTGACCAGAAATGGTAGGATACCAATTTGATAAATAAAGCCAAAAAAGGCTAATATAAATATTTACCAAAAATAAATGTTTTCAGCGTTATTATCCGGTAATATATTCTCGGGATGAAGAAGCCCGTAAAATATCGTTGAGAAGGGAGGGGTATATGCGCAAAGACCCACCGTTTGTTCGTCTTATGCGCCACATGCGCCACCGCTAAGTGGGTGTAAAGCTCAAAATAAAAACGTTTAGAGTCAAATAGTTCATGTAAACTTTATAAGGTCCTCATTGTCAAGTACTTCCTTCACTTCCCCTGGGACAATCGGTGGCGCCGCCGCATACCAGCGACTCTCTCCTCTGATAGAGTGAAGAAGGAGAGGGGGGGGGGGGGAGAGAGAGAGAGAGAGAGAGAATGTTGAAGTTCCTGTCGAGAGTGAGATTCGAGTTCAACGCACTGGATCCGCGGACGGCGTGCTGCATGGAATTCTTGGCGCAGTGCAACGCCGCCAGGCACAAGGAGCTCAATCCGGGGTGTCAGGTCGTGGTGAAGCGGCGCACCGACGACCACCCTCCTCAGATCACCATCACCTACGTCAACGGCACCGAGGAGGTCGTCGACGCGACATCCACCACCGCCCAGGCCCTCCGCGAGCGGGTGATCGAGAAGGGACAGATGCTCTCCACGGAGCAGATGTTCCGCGAGGCCGGAGAGCGCTGGCCCGTCGTCATCCCCGAAGAAGAGCTCCACATGACCTTCCCCGGCACCAAGGTGACCCCCCTAATCGCAGTTGATTCTCCTGCTTCTCCTTCTGGCTGGCCGATCCATCTCTCATTCCGCCCCTTTTTTTGCCTCGTTTCGCCGTCTTTCTCTTTCTAGGCATTTGATCGAGCAGTTGATGTGGATGTAAGGTGAGATGGGAGACACCTCTTTGGATGCCGTGTTCTTCTTCGCCGAGGATGTTGTTAACATGGCCGGGGCAACTAGGGTTATTTCGGCCTTCACATGCTTAAAACTTTCTGTTCTTTTACAGCTCTGCCCATCTGTAGAGTAATGGAACCGTGCCTGGTGACCCTTCTCGTGTTCCTTTTCTTGTTGGTTACATGTTATCCATGACTTGGTCCTTGATCCTGGATTAGTTAGGCAAGAGCGGCGTAGTGAGCTAGAGAGAGGGAGAGAGAGAGAGAAGCAGACGAAATCCCTATTAAGATTCGGGCACTCATATCTGGATAAGCAAGAAAACTTTCTGATTTATACGATGGTCACCTGACTGCAACATGAGGGATGGTCTGCTGACGGTTATTGAAGAGGGTCCATTGTGCTACGGTTCCTAGATGATAAACTTGTTCAGCTTTCGGCATCAATTTTTTTATGAAGATCTAAACTGTTCATCTGCATTAAACACCAATGTTTTTTAGGAGCTCAGATGGTCTGCCGGTTGTGAGTTTCAAGTGAAGGAAAAACTAAGGCCCTGATGGATGATTTATATGATGCATAGCTGTCTCCCCTTTGAGCAGAATATAATACATTAGGCATCAATTGTGCCTGATAGTGTGCCACTTTTTCGAATTTGTTTACCACTGTCTCCTCAATAGCAGCCAGCATCTTAGAGGAATAGGATGAGATCATCTGGATCTTGGTAAATTGCATGGGCCGGATTCCTTTCTCCGCTTTTAAAGATTCTGATACAAGTTTTGGCCCCAGAATTGACTAGTTCTCGCTAAGAACTAGTGAAACATCCTAGTTTAGTTTCCAAAACACCTTCTTGGGAGAGTATAATCTTAGTTATGAAGAACATGTCTCATCTTTAGCGGTAAACTGATGATTCTATCACACAGACTGGAAAATTCGTCATTTTAATTATACCTGAAGATCCCATGATGCGTGAGAGACTCTCTGTTGTCTATCTAACTCCGTCATATTTTTCCTCCACAAACAAATGTGTTATCGATACACTGACAATGGTGCTTAGAAAGCCAGCTGGACTGTTTGATCTTCAATTAATATGTTCAAGTGCAACAACTGTGCTCTGTAATGATTTGAGTGTCAAAGGCAAGTCCTTGGTTAATGGATGTGTACCATTGCCGGATGTTTAAGATTGGTTTACACCTTGGAAGAAATGAGATCACATGAAATCAAGATGGAGATTTAGAAGTACATAGTTTATCTATTGAAGAATTTAATTTTTTTTCTGCATTGCCTACTATGTGAGAAGTTTATTTACATGCAGCAATCACCCTAAGATTTGTATCATAAATCTTACATCATAATGTTTTTTGATGAGAAAAAGAACTTGGTAAATGCATCCTGTAGCGCAAAATTTACCAAAGACCATTGAAAACTTAGGGGACGAGTATCCGTTTCAAGACTGTAAAAGGTCATCCAAGTTGTTTGATTACGAAGCACTAATAGTCGTTTCAGGCAAGCCTCGGCTTATGCTTTTTTTTTTTCATTATGAGAGTTCAACTTAATAGCTCTCTGCCAGGGATCTAAGCCCACTCTTTTCTTTGACTTTCTCACGATCTATTAGGATTATGCTTGAATATAGCCATGTAGGGGTCTCCAAATATGCTCAGACTGAATTGAAACTGTATTGTGGCATAAGTTTTTGATTGCAATATTTGAAATGGGATGTATAGATGCATTGTCAGGTTGGTGGTTCTATGCATATGAATCGAGAGGAAATTCTGCTGCAATGAGCAGAAGGAACGCGTGAGACAAATAGAGAGCTCGAGATCCAACATGGAATAAGGGAACCTATCACTCATAAGTTAGTTTTAGAATAATGGGTTGTCTCTAGGTCAACGATAAAATGCGGGATCGAATATCTAGGTTTGCAATAATGGGGTGTTTTCAAAGAAGCATGCAGGCATCCGTCTATGTTATCTGCAGAATTGAACGCGTGATTAAACATGCAGAATCGTCATCGTGGGTAGCTGAGGTGAAACGTGGTTATGGCTCAGGCGATGAGTGTGCTCCCTACTACCGTATATTCAAAACCTATTGGGATGGCTAGATGCATTCATTCTGAAAAAAAAATAGAAATGCAGATTCTGTGTTCATCTGGGATCATGATCGTTCTCTTTGTATAATCAGGCTTCGTCATCATTTTCTGAGCTTTGGAACGTTTCTCACCAGTGCATGATACTGTATCGCATGGAGAATTTTGGAGTATTTTTTTTACTTCCATGGGCAGAGTTTTTTCTGATGAAATCTGGACTCGTACAAAAATGTTTCCCATGAACGTACAAAAGGTTTGAATTGTTCATAATCTGTTGGTAGGAAAATTCCCAGCTCCTTCCTAGGAAAATTTTCTGGATGGAGAATTGCATTACTGAGTATGACAAAACAGCAGATACCATTTAGGCCACAACATGGGAAAAATGTGCTATTCTTTTCTCCCTCTCTCATCCTGCATCAGTGAACACTCTGCTTGGAATAGATTGCTTCAGAATAAGAGAATGGGGGAGCGTGGCAATCCAGAGGCATTGGCCACATATAGACCTCCATGTTTTCTTCTATTCCAGGTGAGAAACAATCTGCCTCTACCCAAACAATAGGCGACGCTGGCGGGTTGCGGTGGGGAAATTGACTCACTTTCTTTGCATCTGTCTAGCACCATCTGGTGCTCACAGCAGCGGCCCATCTTTTGCTAAACCATGCAATTATTAGACTATTGGGGATTATTTTTCTTAAACTATTATAGTTATTTAGTTGCTTTTTTGAATTCCGTTCTGATGATTAAGTCTTGATGTCCTTTCTTTGGGTGCTTACTTCAGACCCAACTGATTGCTTTTATATCCGAGTTACCTATTGACTGTCGATAATTTCCTCTATTGACTGTTTTTTTTCTATTACAAAAACCATATTTATCAATATTTTTGTTGTTGTTGAGAATACCGATAATTAGGATGATGCCCAACATGTACTGCTGTTTTCCTTCCTCCAGCCAAGAAAAGCTGAAGAAAAGAGCCAGTGAGTGCGAAATCAAGATAAAGATGAAGTACTTTGGATGAGCTCCTCGTGGCGGTGCTTGGATTCCTCAGACAAAGCAGCATCTCCTCTGACCACCCCCCCCCCCCCTTTTTTCTAATCTAGGCGCGATGATATCCCGGAGTCTGAATGTCCTGATAAAATGGATTCCTTCGGGGGCAAACATGATTCCAGATAGAAGATTCTGAGCTTGCTTTTGTCTTATCTTTTTTTTCTACGGATCAGTCAGTGGATTGCTCCATGATTTCCCCTGTGGATGAAATCGATTTCTGTGATGGGTTGATGCAGGACTTGCTTTACTTGGATGAATCAATGGGTTCTTTTCTTTTTTTTCATTTTCCCGAATTCTCTTTTTCTCTTCTTTTTTTCTTCCAAGAGAAGATTTCTTCATGATTATTGAAATGTGGTGTTATTCTGTCTTATTTTTCAGTGTCTTTTCTATTTATTAGATAACATGGGTACTATTTTTGGCATAATAGAATTATGCAGTAAATGTTATTTATTCGACCAATGTCTGAGATATGATCATTTCTGGCGGTTCTAGGAGTTCTATTAGCAAATAAAGGTGCTTTCTTTGGTGATATCGGCCCGGGCCGGGCCTGAGCTCGGTCGAAGTTTCGGCCCAAAGCCCATTTTATGAAACACGCAGAGCAGCACTTTGGAAATTCTTCGTTATTTGCAATTTTCGGATGATAGGGACATCTCAGATACGAGTCGGCCAATCTGTCCCCGGGGCTAAGAAATTAAACCCGTGCTAGTCTTAAATTTGTGTTTATGTCCTCGTGTGGGCAAATCGGTGAGTCTGCGCGGCGCATTAGGTGGAGGCTCCCGAGGACGGCCACGTCAGATGGGCATATTTAAAATGAAATGTGGACTTATTGAATGACTGTTTTTGGGAAAGTCGAACGGTACAATAATAAAGAAGAGGCGTGTGCAGATGAAGTATCTTTAAGGGTTAGAAATAATTATGAATAATTCACAGGGATGAAAGTTAAAACTAGAAGAAAATCCTTATAATTCCGTCGCTCAGGTTAGATCCCCTCTTTTCCCCGTACCTTCCTCTTCCTCTTCGTCCTCCCTGGATCTCCTCTCCGCCCGTCCTGCCGCGGTCGCCACCGTCGTCAGCACCAGCGCCCCCGGCATACGCCGCCGTGGGAGGAACGGGGGGAGGTGAGTGTGGTCAGAAGAGGTAGAATGGATGAATTCCCGGGGCTCCTGCACAGGGACTTCGGTCTTCGTCCACAGGGGAAGGGCGCCCCAATGTCGGCCACGAAGACGGGGGTCGGATCGACGGCAAGATTTGGATCTGGTGCCGGGGGCTCGGCCCTCCCCAGCGATCTCTTCGGCGGTGACCCGCAGAGCGGCCACCGAGCTCAGCGGGATGACGATGACTTCTTCGGCGTGGGGGGAGCCCCGACTGCAAAGTACTCGTCCGACAGTGCCACGTTCGGTTCCGACCCGTTCTTCTCCATGGGAACGAAGCTGGGGTCGTCGCCTCCGGTGGAGGCTGGCTCCTCCCCGTCGATGCCGGTCTTCGACAAGCCGGTGTATGACGACGATGGGGATATCTTCAGCGGGCTCCCGGGTATGAAGAAGGGATTCTCAGCCTCTGCCACGGTGCAGAATGACGTGTTCTCCCCTCCCGCATACGAGGACGATCTCCTCGCCGGCCTCGGCGGCTCCCGGCCAGGGTCGAGGGGGTCAGGAGTCAATGGGGGAGCTAGAAATGTTTCCAGCAAAGCGTCATCTCGTTATGATGTCAATCTCCTATCTGGCTTCGGAGATTCGGGTGATAGAAACGTATCTGACGCCTCTTCGAACCGCGTTTCCCCTCCTTTCGATGATGACCTGCTGGCTAGTCTCGGCAGGGGAAAAGCTTATACAGACAGCAGGAGATCTGGTGCTTCTTCAAATCATTCCCCTCCATCTTTTGAAGCTGACCTTCTTGCTGGTCTCAGTGGGGTACCAAGGCATTCGGGGGAAGAGAAGAGGTCTCAGGAGAAAAAGAGCATCTCTAGTTTTGATGATCTGATACCTGGGTTTGGTGGGACCAGCCTCCCTGGTCAGAAAAGGTAGGCTGTATCTCTGTGATAACATAGGCCTGCAAAACGCTTTTCTATTCCCATGACTTAGCACGTAAGTATTTGGTATTTTTTTCCCCTTTCTGTATTCCTTTCAGGGGAATTGACTGCCTTCTCAGCAGAGACAATTAGAATAAATTTTGTGGAAGAAACTACTATTTAAGAGAGAAATAGATGTTAGTTTAATATCTCTAGTCTCTGGTCATTGGGAAGACATTAATGATCAGTACATCCAAAAAAAAAACATTAGGTGAATAAGGTTTTACAAGATGAGGACGGGAAAATGGTTGGTCTCAAGAATCATTTTATTTATCAAATGGTATTGTGGTCTATGGGAAAGCGGGTAAATAATGCTGCGAACGAGTGGTAGAGACTAAAACATCTGAACTGAATAATACTAGTATATCCATTCCGTTTGACTAAAAAATTGGCTGGTGAACGATCAATCTCTTGCTCAGATAAATGATGAAGGACAGATGCTTTTCACTGACGACTACTGTTTTTGACTTGATTTTCTTATTCTGAAAAATGTCAATAATCTCGCTGATTTGCTTCCCCCGCTGAGGTGGAGGAAGATCTACGAAATCTAGCTCTGTGGGCTGTACGGTGAAACAGTCATTTTAATAGTTTGCTGACATCAATTAGGGATTCAGGAGAAGAGAGGTGAGAAATACGTCAGAAAGAATATTATTTGTCGTGGGGGGGGGGGGGTTTGTCTACTGTTGTTGTGGGCTTTCACGTCTACTCATGATGTCTGGATCTCTGCTGTCTGTTGATGCTTTTGACCTTGAGTCTTTTGTGATACTCCTGCCTCTCAAAATAAGTTATTTGCTGGCCTTGCTCCATCTATGTGCTTTATTTCCTGTTGATGCTCCATTCCAGCATCTGCATTTGATATTGCTCCCTCCCGAGCCTGCATTTCTCTCATGTACTATGCCTATTCTTCAATTCCTTTGTGCTTAATGCCATGCTTCTCTATCCGCTCTATTTAGATTTCCTCCTGCCGTCATACATTCTTCCCTTTACGTTTTTTTTGGGTTTATGGTTGATCAATTACCCAACTTCTTCCTTGCATTGGATGTCCATAACTTGGTTGTGATTGATGCTAACAAGTTGCACTGGTAGGATTTTTTAACGCTCATGAAGGCGTGCTCTCTCTTGTTTGATTTATTGGTGTTTCATGGGATTATTTTTCTCCTCATTGCATTCCATTTCATGTCCGTCAGTTGGTGTTAGTCATGATATTAATCTTGATCATAAATGCCCGATTCTGCCTCTATATCAAGCGATAGTTCTTCTGGACGTCAGCATATAGACACTAATATCATGGTTCAATTTTTCACTGTCCAGCGATTGTATTCTTACATTTTGTCATTATTCACGTTATTTGTAACTCTAGCTGATTGAGCATCCATAAATGGAAAGTTCCAGCCAGTTGTTTTTTTGTGTATGTAGATCTGTAGATGTGTAGACCCTGGTGTCAGTGGGCCAGGTACCCCTGGATACTGGTTGGCCCTAGCTGGAACTTTGCCTTGCTCGGAACCCCAAACCCATCTCTTCTCAAGTTTATGTAATCACTATCTCGCTTCCTTGGCGACGGTCTTCTTCTTCCTCTGCCCTCTTCTTCCCTCCTTCCATCTAGCTGCAATCCTTCCGTTACACTGGTATGTGGGCCCACACCTTCCCTCCCTCCCTCAATGGTACCACCTAACCCCCCCTGGCTGCTCCCTTTTGAAATCACTGAGAACGTCGGTTTTCTGGTCTGAGCCGGACCTGTGGCCCATACAAGCTCAACCCAGTGGTCTCATATCTGGATTTTTCGTTAGGCCCAGGCTCAGTCTGGGCTTTGCAAAATTCTCATGGGCTTGAGATGGTATTTGGAAAGCCAGTCCTAATAGCTCCTGCTTGTATGTGAAGCTAATATATTATCTCATTCAGTTTCGTAGCTGTTGCCAGAGCCATTCTTCTATTTCTAGTTCATTCTTACTGGCCTTCATTATCCCGTGAATTTTATCTAACATTATAATTTTTGACAGTGGGTTATCAGAGAGTAAACAACAATCATCGGTTTCATCAGCCAAACCCACTGTTACAGTGGCAGAAGATCCATTTGTAGTTCTTGAGTCGACATCTGCCACAACATTTTCCTCACCAGGGTTGTTTACCGAACGCTCAGAACACATCAGCAGACCTTCAGCAAGTGTGAAGTCCGATGTCTCTTCTGCAAAGGTCGATGGACTTTTTGATGATATTAATGGATTTGATGGTTTTATGAAACCAACAGCATCACTTGGCAATAATCAGAACAATCGGAACCCTTTAGAGACTGCTGGAAAGGGAACTGGAGGGGAAACATCCATGAAGGCCTCTGATAGTATCTATCAAAAATCAGTGCGTGCAGATAATTCGCACCAAAATTTGTTTGACAAGCCGAGTTATTCATCAGAGTCATCTAGATCTGTTCATAGGAATGGTGATTCAAATTTAGAAGATGTCAATCCATATGATGCAAGTTCCAAGGTAAATAATCTGCAAGAGCCTGAAGAAACTTCTGTAGTAGACGATGATTTCTGGGTTACTGTTTGTGAAATTCAGCTTATCACACCTCCTACTAGTGCTCCTCCTCCATCAAGGCCCCCTCCCCCTCCTTCCTTTAAAATCAAACAAGCACCAAGTCAGGATGATGGTTCTTCACATGGTTCAAGTAGCAGAAGAATGGCTAGTGACTCATTTGCTCCTCAACCAACTGAAAGTTATGTATCCCAAAATTCACGTAATGACGGATCAAAAAGATCTGCTGTTAGTACATTGGATGGACTTGAAGAATTTGCCATGGGCAAGTCTCAAGCTTATGGCACTGAAGCACACTCGGGTGAAGAGGAGGTTGAGAGGAATTCAGCTGCAGCTGCTATGAAAGAAGCTATGGACAAAGCTGAAGCCAAATTTAAACATGCCAGGGAAGTGAGGGAGAGAGAAAGAGATTTGAAATCTTTTAAGAACAGGGAAGCTGGACAACAGGTAAGAGAAGAGGATGATAAAGAAAAGGAGAGGGTGAACCATGAAAGAGAACAGAGGGAAAGGGAGAAGGAAAAGGAGCAACAGAGACTTGAGAAGATGAGAGAGTTGGAACTTGAGAGGGAAAGGGAAAGAGAAAGAGAAAGGGAAAGAGAAAGAGCACGACAAGCTGTTGAGAGGGCTACTCGGGAAGCACGAGAAAGAGCGGCTGCTGAAGCTCGTCAAAGGGCTGAGAGGGTTGCGCGCGAACAGTCAGACCGAGCTGCTGTTCAGAGAGCACAAGCAGAAGCACGTGAAAGGGCTGCTGTTGAGGCAAAGGAGAGAGCTGAAAAGTTGACTGCAGAAAGGGAGAGAGTGGCTACAGAAGCAAGAGAGAGAGCAGCATCAGAAGCAAGAGAGAGAGCAGCAGCGGAAGCAAGAGAGAGAGCGGCTGCAGAAGCAAGGGAAAAAGCATCAAAGGAGAGAGCTTCAAGGGAGAAGGCTGCTGTGGAGTTGAGGGAAAAATCTGAAAGGGCTGCTGTCGAAAGAGCTGCAGCTGAAGCACGGTCTAGGGCACAACGGGCTGCTGTTGAAAGGGCTGCTGCAGAAGCTCGTGAAAGGGCTGCTGCAGAAGCTCGGGAAAGAGCTGCTGCTGTGGCAAGAGAGAAGCAGCAAAGAAGTGAAAGTGATCTAGACTCATTTTTTAGTATGGGTGCTCGGGCGAACAGTGCACCCAAGGAAAGATCAACCCCAGCTGTGCGTACCCATCCTTGACTTTATGCTGAACCCTGTCCGGTTTCATAATCAACACAGTTAATTATTTGTTATTTTGATTGTTGTTTTCAGGAATCTGCTTTTGATGCTCAATTTCAAAACAAGGGAAATTCTGACAGAAATCAGAGGTCTTCTGGTGTTCCATCCGGCATGAGAAGGCCATCATCCACGACTAATTTCATCGATGATCTCTCATCAGTTTTCAATGGTATCTTTCTTTTTGCGATAACATATATTCTCAAGCATTATTTATGTGCCCTATCATGTCTTAGATTTTTAATTTTTAGGCTAATTATTAACAATTTCTTCCCTAAGCAGGTAAATCAAATGACGAATTTCGAGAAATTGAAGGGGAGACTGAAGAAAGGCGAAAAGCAAGATTAGAACGGGAACAAAGGACACGCCAGCGTACAGTATGTTTCTGAAGTCATAATAACAAGTTACTATCTTTTATTCTTTAGAGGATGCCTGAATAAGCTCTATGTGGTTTTCTTAACTATTAAATTTGCTTTCAAAATCTTCTAAGTTTTGTAGTCATTTCTTGTGGATGATTATTTCCCTGTTTATTATTGGATTTCTCCTTAAACTTATTTTCATTTTTGTAATATTCAGGCAAAAGCGTTGGCTGAGAAAAATGAACGCGAGTTACAAGTGCAGAGAGAGCAAGCTGAAAGAGATGTACCTTCCCTTACTCCCTCTCTCACTCCTTGAGCCTATGTGTACAACAGATTGATGCTTACTTTTGTTACCAGCATTTTATTCATTTGACATAAGTGCCATTCCATCTACTCTTCTTTTATAACTCCGTTGATTTAGCTAATTACTGTCATATAAATTGCTTTCTCAGAGGATTTCTGATTCCCTGAATATGGAGATAAGGCGGTGGGCTGCAGGAAAAGAAGGCAACTTAAGAGCTCTTTTGTCAACATTGCAATATGTGGGTTTTGATGCATCTTCAGTGTATTATTTTTGTATATTGACGAACTCTGCTATGAACTTGTGCTTCTCTTCATGTTCGTTTTTTCGGTGCTGTTGGTAAAATTTTCTTTCAATTGTTTCTTTCATCTTGTCGTAACTTGTATGCTCTTGTAACACAAATGTGCTATTGGAACTACTTGATTCAAGCAAAGTCTGAAAAGATACACTCTTGGAATAAAAGACAGAAGACCTTAGAGCTTTTCATGAGGGCATCCATACATACGCTGTTAGCTAATCAATATTTGTTTGAAAAAGTGGATCATCTCTTCGCCAGGAAGTTCTTCCACCACGGAAACCTTTGCTCTATGAAATTGCTGCCTGACAGAGTCAACATTGTTTGGATCATAGTGAAATTATTGCGTGATCGATAATTTCTCCAGGGATGAGGATCTAAGATGTGAAGCTTTTTTGCAGTATTTATACTTCACTGGGATACCTGCGGTGTTAGGGTTCAAGGTTAGCTAGCTTAGTAAGACTAGTTCGATTGTCCTGACTTCAATGGACCTGAAGCGACTCAGCTGTGGATGTAGTCCTAAAAATGTTAACAATGTGACATGGCCGATCTGAATGACCATGGAATGTCGGAGAACCGATTCGAGCAGGAGATGAATGTGATGTGAAACAAGGAAAATCATGGTTGCATTTGCCTTGTTTCTTTAACTCTTTTGCTTTTTCTTGTCTCTGCAATGTTTTGCTCAAACTTGTCGGAGTTGTATTGATATGTTACATGGTGGAAACCATAGATTCCCCACCATCTCTCTCTCTCTCTCTCTCTCTAGTGAGGGAGAGGTCGGGTATCTGTTACTGATGCTGATTTAAATTTTTCTAATTTGTCTATTTTCAATTGATGATATTTTGATAACTCAGTCTACTGAATCATTTCAACCCATTCGATTATTTCCCTCTTTTTTCTGTGTTGGCTTGCTTCTTCCCCCTGTTTTCATTCACGGATAAACAGCCAGGAGAAATCTCTTTTACTAAAATCATAGAACAATTGCTAGTTATACACAAGTACCCTGGACACTAAGAAAAGGAAACTAACAAACTGAGAAGCTGATAAACTAGGAAACTGACCAACAGATACTAACTCCTAATTACACGTTTCTCTCATAATTTCTTGTCTTGTCAAATGTTTTTGATTCGCTGGTAGATTTATTATTTTTCGTTTTTTTGTTATTACATGAATATCTTACTCTCTTCTTCTTTTTTTTTTTTCTTTTCCTCTTTTGAACTTTCCTGCAGGTCCTGTGGCCTGACAGCGGTTGGCAGCCAGTTTCTTTGACCGATCTAATTACTGCCGCATCGGTGAAGAAGGTTTACAGGAAAGCAACACTGTGTGTTCATCCGGACAAGGTGGTATCTGGAACGGTGCAACAAAAGTACATTGCAGAGAAGGTGTTTGACCTCCTGAAGGTAACTCATACCTGCCCTAGAAACCTTTTTCTTCCCTTTTTAAAGCCCATCTCATGATTGGAATCCTTACATTTATAGTTAAAATCATTTAAATTATTTATTATGTCCAAGTCAATGCGGTTTATTGGCATATTTGGTTAAATGATCATGTGGGTGATTTCGTCAGAGGGTGAGGTTGACTCCTGCTAACCCATTATCCAGGGGTTTAGGGTTATGATTATGGTTGTGGGTTTGTTCAAGATCCATGGACGGTGGGAGGTGGGTCATTGGGACGACATTTAATGGGGTTGACCGGTAAGGCATGTTGAAGGAAAGTCAACCCCACTTGATCGAGATATCTCATTGCGTTGACTTTATTTTTGTGAAACAGGAAGCCTGGAACAAGTTCAACTCCGAGGAGCTCTTCTAGCGATCATCTCCCAGGATTCAATCAATCAATCGATGAGAGCAGGAATCGGGCAACCAACCGACGGCCCAACCAACCCCTCAATCGTCCTCCTGTTCATACGCATCAGGCTTGGATTCCCATGTGCCCGGAGGAGGAAGAGAGAGAGAGAGAGAGCAAACCAGTGTTCCAGGAAAACCCTAGAAAATTATCCGGAGCTTGGATTGATCCCCCCTCCCCCTTGGGAGCCTTTTTGCACGCAGATATGCAGTGGCCGATCTGTATAGATAGCCTCCGAAGGATCGGCCGGTCAGTTGGCGTGCTGCTCGTTGTGTTCCCCATGTGAGTTCTCCTTCCCCTCTTTTCAGTGGTTGTCTCCCTCTTCTTCTTCTTCTTCTGCTCCTTGCTGCTGCTGCTCATGTCATCCGATTGATGATTGATGGACATCTTTCTCCAGTATTATATTAAGGCTTCTTCTGGGCATTCCTCTCCTCTTCTTCTTGAATGCGCATGAACATGAACCCACCTCTCTCTCTCTCTCCCTCTCTCTCTCCTTTATTTTCTCGTCAAATATGATTCTGTGAAGAATAACTTGAGGGCCCCACCCCCACCTGAATATAGTTATTTCGATAAATACGTGTCGGGAAAAAATCGGGCGATGAGGATCCGTTAGATGGCGCTTTCAGCGGGAGAGTAGAAAGGTCGGCTAGCTGGTCTTCGATCGGGCGGCGCCGCCATGGAAGGGAACCCGAGGGCGGCGGTGCCCCCCCGTTCCTCCCTCCCGGCGAACTACGTCTCCCTGGCGCAGCTCCAGGAGAGGAGGAGGCTTAATCAGGAGCAGCAGAGGAAGAGGGAAGATCAGGAGGAAGAGGCGGTAAGGGAGGAGATCCGGAGGCTAAATGCGGCGGGAGAGGAGCGCCCGAAGGTCCGGCCGCCGTTGGGAAGGTGGCGGCAGAAGAGTCGAGATGCGGCAGCGGCGAGCGGGGAAGCGGACGTGGAGCCGGAGTGCGGCGGGAGAAACCACGGGCGTCAGAGATCGCGTCGGCGAGGTCCGTCAGAGCGCGCCGCCGCCCGGAAATCTCCTAACGCAGAGGCCGGAGGAGAGGAGGCGGTAGATCGCGTGGATCGTCGGCGCAATGAGAAGGCGAGAGGGAAGGAGAAGGAGATCACGGCGAAGCCTGGACGAGCCCTAGAGTGCCAGCCGGAGAAGAACCTGGAGGATGTGGATCCGCCGCCGCCCTCCTACGGGACCGATGAGGGAAACCCTAAGGCGAGGGTGAAGGCCGTCGTGTGCGCGGATGGCGCGGAGAGGAAGAAGAAGATCCCGGCGAAGACTGGACAAGCCCTAGAGCGGCAGCCGGAGAAGAAGCTGGAGAATGTGGGTCCGCCGCCGCCCTCCAGCGGGAACAAAGAGGAAAAGCCCAATGATTCCCGCGGCGCTTTCAAATCGAGGGCGTGGAAAGAGCGGCGGCCGGAGAAGAAGCTGGAGAATGTGGATCCGCCGCCGCCCTCCAGCGGGGACGAAGAGGAGAACCCAAAGGATCCCCACGGCGATTTCAAACCGAGGGTTTGGAGAGTGTGCCGGCGGGTGAAGATCTCGCCGCCGATGGTTGAGGCGGTCGTGGATGTCGCGCAGAAGCTTGAGAATGCGATCATCAGCGTGCCAGCGGAAGACTGCAGGAGCTCGAGGAGGCCGACGGGTGGGAGGAGAAGAGGGTCTCGTCACATGTCTGGGAATTTTCCCAGGGATGGCATGGTGTGGATCAAGAAGACCGGGGGCTCATAACCTCCTGCACCAGAATCTGGTGAGTGATTCTTGCAAGCTTTGATTGTATCCATGAATTCGGGTGAACCATGTTTCATAAAACCTACGAAAAATCTGTATCTACAGTTCATCATTTTGTTGGATGTTTTTGGTAGCTGTCTCTTGTAGAGGACAAGAACAATTCATGGGAAGTAGGATTAAGAGAAAAAGATCGGGGGGCATGGGAAGTAGCTATCGTTCACCGCATTTTACGAGGATGTCAACATCATTCACATCATGCCATCACCAATATCCACCAGAAAGCTACCATTTGGATGGATCCATCCCGTCAACGCCCTCTTTGTTCAGAGTCTAGTTTCAGAGTAGGCCATGAAATCTTGATGGCATGGTCACTGATGTGTAGATACGTCATGATGAAAATATTAGATCAAACTGTTCTGTCTGTCAGTTTCTCTCTCTCTCTCTCTCTCTCTCTCTCTCTCTCTCTCTCTGTGTTGCGTATACACACTGATGTGATATTAGAGTATAGGGCGCAAGTCAACGCTGGGTACTCACTGTTCACACCTTTCTGCTCTTTATTTCCGGGCATGTCTTCCGCTGCCCGCCTCCCATTGATTTTTGCCATTGGAAATGTCAACCAAGTAGAACTGGTGATGAACGTCATGAAGGGTATTCATCGCCAATTGATTTTTCGTGTGCACATGTTTAAGCAACTCCCATACTCGATGCAATATCGAGGCCAACCGACCAGATTTTCTCCTGGGACCATCTTATCCAATGCGCTTGGACATGCGATAATTGATACTGAAGGAATTTCATGATATTCTTAGTAATTTTAAGACCAGAGCTATGTTCTGAAAAGTGATAAGACATATTTTATCTTATACACGTGGCATAAAATCAATGGGTTTCCTCACTGTCTCTTTCAAATCTCACCAATGGGTTTGTTTTTGCTTTATATTTCCAAAAAGTCAACTGATGAGAGGCATCACTCCTTTTTTGTTCTTAGTTATTATTCACAAAAATTCGCTCAAAACTTCTGATAAAATCTTTAAATTGCCGAAATTCTAATCGAACTCATAGCTTTCCAAAACGTTGTTCATGGTTTCAAATGAACTCATACACGTCAATAAAATCGATCATGATTTCAGATAAACTCAAACTACCACCAATTCAACTTAACCCATAAACTTTCATAAATTTGCTCATCATTGTGGATAAACCCATGAAATTCGATCATGACTTCCCCATAGTGTCTGTCTTAAAGGTTGACAACATGTCAACAGAGGGGTTGACGAAGGCTGGGGGTCCTTCCTTGCAGCTCTAGGAATCAAAACGGAGACTGAGCAGACTTTTTTTGCCACCTTGTACCACTTATTATGTATCATGTTATTTTTCAAAATTATGTGATAATTTTTTCTTAATATCAAAAGTATAGCCAATGAATGGGTCAGATTAGCAGAAACTTTTCTTCCTTTTTTGCCTGAAGAAGATAAAAGGAAATTACTAATCTGATGAACCTTGTACCACTTATTATGTATCATGTTATTTTTCAAAATTATGTGATAATTTTTGCTTAATATCAAAGTGGGTCAGGTCAGGTCAGATCAGCAGAAACTTTTCTCCCTTTTTTGCCTGAAGAAGATAAAAGGAAATTACCAATCTGATGGACTAAATGCCGATTTGCTATTTGGGAACCTGCCCATCATCATCCCCATCCATCTGAGCATATTTTTTCCTTCTTTTAGAGTCATCAATGGCTGGAGATCAAGTTCTATCCATGCTGACACTGTTTCCAAAAATAGCCATGAATGGGTTGGGTCTTCCAAGAACATGAACCTTTGAAGAAGATTGATGGGAGAGTAGTAGAATCATCTGACTAGATTGGAGTCGATGGATTGATCAGATTTGAATGGGATGATGAAGATCAGCATGGCAATATGGAGAAATGCATGGAATTATCTCTCACCACATCTATACACCACCATCTACATTTTCTTCCCCTCATATCTGTACACCACCACCATATAGAGAAATACCCAAAGGGGGAAATTTTCTAAATTACATTATATAAAAGGAAAAGAAAAAAAAAACCTATCTTACTGCATTGGCTGGCGATCGCTTCAGAAAGAAAAAACAGGGGAAGCTACTCGGTGTAAAGAACTAGAACTTATCATCCCTTGGAGAAGCTCTGGGGCTTGCTACTGGCGAATGTCAACCACACAACGGTGCCGGTCAAATAAAAGAATATTGATGGAGCAAATAATGCCAGCTGCATGGAGAGAAAAAAACAGGAAGGTATGAATTAAGATATAATCATCACCTCAGCTAGTGATTAAGCGGAATAGAAACGCCGTTAGAGGGCTTACGCTCCATGAATGAGTTGAATCAAGTAGAATCCCAGTCAGAGAAACGCCAACTATCCCGGGTACAGCCCCTACTGTGTTAGTAATTCCCTGAAAAAAAAGAAAAAATAATCAGATGTTATCAAATAAAACGTAGATCAAATCGAAACTAGGAGGAGATAGAGTAGAAAACTACCAAAAGTACGCTAGCATACTCAGGTGAGATGTCTTGGTGGGTGCAATAGAGCCCTGAAATAGAAAAGAACATAGGTCAAGGCAGGAGGTCAACAATATATATATATATATATATATATATATAAATAAATGGGTCTCAAGTGGGTTACCAGAGAGAGCAAAACTAGAAAGGGCTAGACCACCCGTGAGGAATGCCACGACTTCCCAGTGTGGTAGCCCCAAATCCAAGGAGGATAGAGTCATGCAGACTGCGGGAGATATGAAGGCAATCGATTGGCAGATTTTCCGTACCTACATTGAGAAGCAAAGATTTCAAGTGGGGTACAATGTCTATCTGTGTACATGGGATTTCATAGGAAAATGTTGTGCCTAACGTTACTCGTTAAGACAAACTCTTGAGAGAGAGAGAGAGAGAGAGAGGATGTCACATAGAACCACAACAGCTTAATGTACTAAATTAGGTTAAGACTTTAGGTACCAAGATAAGACGAATAAATTGTGTTTTTTTTTTCTCATTTGAATGTTTAAGGCTTGCTCCATGTCTATGTACTTCAATGAATGCCAGAGCAAAGTAACATAAGAGTGCCATACCCCTATGTACCAAATTTTGAATACAAGATATGACTCGAAATGTTAATTTTTTTCTCATATTGGTGTTTTCGGATCCCTCTTCATTCACTGCCAGGAATGAAATGCTAAGTATTTACATTGGAAAAATAAACACTATAAAACAGATATATATCCTGATCAGTTACTTGATGCCACAATACAAGAAGAATACAAATATAATATTTTGAAGCATCACCATTCGAATCCCTATTAAATAGCTTCTGGAGCATTGATTGTGACCTGTCACTCCAGCCCCTTCGACCATCCATCATATCTATAACCATCATGCACAAATTATGAGGGTTGATACCTCAAACACGCAAAAAAAGTGTTTGTAGTCTAATGAGGAAGGAACTGAGAGCAATGGAATACCCAAAACAGATGAGGACCCCAAAATATAGCACAGCTCGCTTAATTCTCTAATGGATTGTTTCCATTTTCGTCAGAAATTTGGGGAGGCTGATAATGTAAACTGGCTCTAAAATTTAGTCCATTTCTACATATCATCAGGAAGAAACTATCGCATACCACAATCTTTTTCACTCTTCATGAAGCTAGTGTCATCATGAACAGCGATAACCTGTTTCATAAGTGAGAGGGAAGATTCTTAATTTAGCGTCAAATGAGCAAGAAACTTCCTCATTTCATTTCGGGTTAGGAAGATATGAAAGTGGTTTTATCTCTATAAGAACAGTGCACTCCGAGTTGTGAAGTGGCAGAGAAGAGATTCATAATTGGGTTTTGAACAAGACGACCTTTGCATTTTTCTTAGATAAATAAAACACAAAATTCTTTCAGCCTACAGATCAGTACCGTGGTTGTCTCAACGCCGCGTGAGATCAGGTTGTCAGCAAATGTCGCTGCAATGGAAGTGATAAGAATTGAGCCCAAGGAGGGTAGAATGGTAACCTGAAAGAAAAAATCCGATCATAAGATTGATGCAAAAGTTAACAAAGGTATCTGGGAACACCACCATGACATTAACAAGAGTCTTCAACATGATATATTGCATTTATACTGCAGAGGAGAGACATAAAAAAATCAAAATAGCTTATCCTTATATTAGTTTCAATTTTTTCATATATTCCCAATTTTTATAATTTTCTGGTTTTCCTTGTCCTTGTGAATGTTCAAATAGGCCAGTTCAGGAAGGATGCCTTGCGTTGGAACACTTTGTCAAATCACCTCAATTAAAAGAGGGACAACAAGATTCCCAGGGGTTTAATCCAGTGTCTCCTTTATGCCACCGAAGCATCTCAAAAGAAGGGTTATTTAGGAAAAATATATATTTCTTCATAAGTGCATTAATTAATTTATTTTCCCTCGCAAAAATAACAATTCAAATCATTTTCGTCACCTCAATCGATCGATAGTTACACAGTGTGCTATTTGAAGACTTACCCATGCTGCTTCTGTCAGGTTCAGGTTCAGCTCCTCACTGCATTTATTAAATATAACGAGAAAGTCTGTCATCTTTCTTGTACAAAGCATCACACAGAATAGACCCTAACGTTTAAAGTTTGATAAGTGCTAGAAAAAGACAAGGAATCCTAACCCATGTCTTCAACTTCAATGAAAAAATTTAAAAAATAAACAATGACCATAGTCCAAAATTTGAAATTACTCCAAGAGGACTGGTTACAGATCTTGTACCTGAAAAATGTGGGGAGCCAGGATAGACAAGTGTAATGGCCCCAACTTCCACAGAAATGAGCATATATCATTGCCCATACAGCAGGACTTTTAAAGAACGCCTTCCATGGTACATCCTACCACATAACGAACATATCAGATAATAAGTAGGAAAGAAGGCATAGACTGGAAGCACAAAAAAAAAGACATCGATTCACTACCTAAAACAAGATTCGTACATCTTTTACTTGAGCAGTTTTTCAGGATTTCTAGGTTTATTTTTTACATTAAGATGGGATAATTTCAAGTGAAAAGACCAAGCACTTGCGGTGGTGTGAATAAGCAAAATAAATCAAAACTTATGTTACTTACAGCCGTGCCTAGTTTCTGCAACAGATGGTTTCTAGAGACCTGAAGATTATATGATTGTCCTCCTGTTAGTTTATTCCCTACTGTAATTGGTACAGTTGCGAAGATGAATGCATGCGTCTTTCCTTTAATCATCAACTATTCTGTTTTATCTCTAGCGTCCCTTATAATAGGAGCATTACTGTCCATGTTCTTCCTAGGGTGGCTCAATTCATAATTTAATTGGGAGGAGCTGATGAACCTGCCTTTTTGCCATGTCATCCCCCGCTCCTTGTTATCTTCTTTTATCTTTTTCTAACTACAGGTATGATCAGAAAAATTAACTGGAAGAGATTCACAGCATGCAGATATTTCCACAGTTAGAGACCACCACACATGCATCAAAACAGGAACGTCGGTGGATAACACAACTAAAGTTGTCCCAAAAACTATTTTAAGTACCACCAAGTGGATATTTAATGCTTGCTCTTTATTTCACGGGATGTAGCTTTGAGTGTCAACGAGTGCAGTTTATATTTTTCAATATGTGGTCAATCAAATCTCCCGCTAGAATATTAGACACTCGCTCAGAGTTATGAACCGGAATTTATCATTCCAGAATTGAAGTATACCTGCAGTGAGTCTCCCAACTCTTTGATGGATGCATTCTGCGTTCTCAATTCGTCAGGAGATGTTAATGAAGGAGTTGCTACCGTATAATTGGGCCTTCCTCTTGGACCTAAGAAATACATTTTTCACAGTATAATAAATTATCATAGAATTACAAAATACAAACTACTCTACTAATTCTACAACATAGGAAAACCCTATCATTAGTGCTGATTTACAGTACAAGGTGTTCAAAAATTATATTTCGGGGTAAGCCTGCTTCTTTTCTCTTCGTTTTGAAGAAGGATTATAAACATTATCATTTCTTGATTCTTGCATTCCAGTAACTTCTGCGAGGTAATCTTTGCGAAAACTATGAGAGCATGGAAACTGTAAGTACTCACTCAATAGCTTGTTCACTATTTCCACAATTTCAAAATCAAACAGGATCTTTTTCCAATGTAATTTATTAAAATGAGAAAATGAAAACGTGACGCTCCAAGTGCAAAAATTGAATATGGCCCAGCTTTGCAGATACACTTTCACATTTTTGGGCTCAAACCGGATGGAAATGGACCAAGAGGAACCCGTCATGTGGACTTTTCCCACCTTTATCCATATGTAGATCATGCAATAGTATGCCAGATAAAAGCACAGATGTACGATTATAAATAAGTACGTGAGAACCAAAAAATAATAGCTCTTTAATTAAAGACAACTATACATACATATGCACAGATGTACAGAGATCTAATGATCTGACATGATGTACGATAACTAATACATAATACTAATTTGGGGTCATAATATGGATCGTAGAACAAAGACCAAGAATAGCACGTAATAAATACGTATTAAGAGAAGCATAATCGTCTTCAAACGATATACTTACTGGACGCGAATGCTTCATCAACCGTTGATTGTCCTTTAACAAGCTCAAACCCTCCACACCTTCACAGGATTAAGAAAAAAATCATTGCACATTTTATAGTGAATTTATTTCCACCAAAAGCCAGCTTCAGAAAAGTTTCCTAGATAGATGGATTTTACAAGTCTTTGGTGCTATTAACTCATAGAAAGAGGGTTTATCGCGACTAAAGTATAGGAGGTGCTTCAACTCGAAGTCCAAAATCCTAAATCAAAGTGACTATGAGATCAAGTACACAAAACATCAGATGACAAGGATACTTTAGGCCGACAGGATTCGGAATTCAGTCATTACTGAATGTCACAAGTCGAGGCTAAGAAAGTAATGACGTCATACATGAAATCATATGAAACTGAAAATTCAGTAAATTGGCTGCCACTTACCAAAGTAACCCAACAAGTCCAAATATGTAGAATACAGACTCCCAGCCTAAGTTTTGGATAATTGGAGGAGCAAAGAGGAGCCTGTGAACAATTTTAGAACAGTGACAAACAAGTACTCAGAAAACGCTATGGTAAAAAGTCGCTGGAAGGCCATGATAAAAGTTTTCTTAAGTAAAATATCTCTGCATTTATCATTATTAGCAGAGGATAATTTGTCATAGTTGAACATGGGCACAAGAGAGCATGTGAAAAGTTAAGAGGCTAAGATTGCTTTATAAGTGCGTCCATACCTACACAGACACACATTAATGTCAGTCAAACAGTGCCACAAGAAAATTATACAAAGAAGCCAATATTGGTTTACACAAAATGTATGTTTGTGTACACTCCTGACTTTTCGCCAAACCTCCATTTTTATGAATGATCAAGGTTCAAATAATCATCAGTTCAACATGTATAAAAGGACACCTACTTGACACGATTGCCACATTTTACCAAAATTCTTCTAAGCACTGGCTGTTGTTGAAATTAATACTGCTTTCATACTCCAGCTTGTATCAGAGTCCAAGAGAAAAACACAAGTTTAGAGAATATGCTAGCCAGATCCTAATGAACCAACCTCTAACTCTAAAAGATCGCTGTTTTATCTGTGGCACATGGAACTCCTTGGGTCTAAGAACCCATGTGTCCATCTCTGGAATCAATACAAGTAGCTTCATGCACCATAAGAGCAGATTCTGTGATTACTAAAACTGCATCTCAGCAACCATAGTTAATAATCAGCGACTAAAATCCCGATCAGACGATATGGGAGCAGGGGCCACGGAGATGCAAGTTTTCATTCTGTTGCTTTATAAAAAAAATCAATCCGAATTTGGTCTAATCAAGCAGCCTGGGTATTAAGCGGGCTGTTTTTCGGGTTTCCAGAATCAACCCATTTTAGTAGAACAGGTATCTTCTTATTTCGTAAAAATGGTTGGATACATTTATATATGTATTTTCCTTTTTTTTATCCAGAGAAAACTTTCTCCACAAGCGGACGATTTTTGCTGATCAAATACAATAGTCTTTTCAAGAAATTTGGGCATTACAAACATTTTATTATGATTCTTCGAGATCGGATCAGTGCTGAGCGATTCAAGGAATAAATCCAAGTTAAAATGCCATGCCATCACTCCCTCAGAATGTTTGTAACGCTTGGTTTATCAGGAAATTCATAATGTTTTAATATTCAATGAGATCAAAAGTCATTTTGACAGTCAAGAAAGGGCTTGGAAACAAAGGTGACCATGATAAGCTCGAGGACGAAGACCTAGATAATTGGCAAGCTAAATCCAAAAATCCAAGATATATATTCTTTAACAGTGTTGCACACAAGATTTCTACATTAAGATCATCTTAACATGGGATTTTTTTTAATGATGAAAACAATAGTCGCATGTAGGTATAGTTAAAATGAAGAGAAATCATAAAAGCTAGGAAAAGGCTGAAATAGAAAAATGGATACAGATGTTGAAATGTGATACAAAAAGAACAATAAGTGGTTAAGACAGAGGATATATCATCCACAGAAAGAATGCCTAATTTTCTAATGGGGTCATAAGAAAAGATTCGGCATATTTCATCTGAGCGCATCCAAAATTCACATAAAATCACATTTTTAGCAGGCATACCCCAAAACACTCCCGATGCTCAAACCACCAAAAACAATGCCAACAGCTCTTGAGCGTTCCTGTAATGGTATAGTCCTGCAAATGATTTCAATTATGTTAGAAAGACTATATCCATATTCTTGAAATACATACATTGCAAAATTGAAACATGGCAAACAAGATCTCTTGATGATGAAAGGATATGCCGAACAATTGGAAAGTTCAAAAAATATATTGAGTTCTTATAATCAACCATCGAACTGAATTGATGGGCAATATCACTCTCTCTAAACCAATTATCCCTTTCCTGGATAGGTTGCAGTTCCTATTCAATGGCAGAGATATGAGAAACAAAGATCACAGAAGGCATCAATGGCCATTAAGCAATGTTTTTGTCCCTACCACTGCTGTTTTCCAAGGCCCCAATTTCCATGCCCAACATGCTTCCCTAAGCCCTCTTCATACTTCTCTATTCTTGTCAATTTCCCTTCCTTCTCTCCTCCCTCTCAACCTCTCCCTCTCCTTCTCCTCCAACACCAGCCAAGAAATCAGTTGAACCACTAAGTATATGTCTACAACTAGAACAGGAACCAGAATTGCCTGTGGCCATTCTGGTCCAAAATCCAGACCTTGAAGAAATGAAATGGATTTAGCAGCACACATAACCTAGATCAGAATCATATCATAACTACACAACCTTAACCCGATTTTCTTTCACTGCCTCAAGCATATGCCAATTGAGGAACAAAGAAAACTGAAAAATGTCAACCGCTCTCTATCAGCCATCCCCATTGAGACACCGATTTTGCTCCTGGATTATCAACAGACGCTTGAACACAGTTAAAACAAATAGACGCTCTCCTTGAGGCCTCCATAGACAAGAGAATGAAGTTCACAAAAGACATTTCATCTTCTGATCCTACACTTCATCTAAATATAACCTGCCATGAGATTGGTCAATACTCTCCTTCAGTCACAAGATTTGAACTTCTGGAAGATCTACTAAGGGAGCCCTTCTTTTCTGACCATCTAGAGCACTGATTGATCATTCATTTCTTTCATACACCATTTTCTTAGCTTTAATTTTCATCAAATAATTTTTTTGGGTCCACAAATAAAAAGCTCTGTTCCCCTATCTCATCAATTATTATCTAATTAGATGGTTTAAAACCGTCAATTTCGCCATCTCCAGAACAGAGAGACATTCGGTCACAATGAAAAGTGCAACAGTTAAGATAAAATGGTTTAAAGCTTCCAATGCTTTTGATGATCAGGTCAAAACTCAAACATAGTGAGGGGGTAGCAAAGGCACTTTGCAACCTGACATTCAAAGACGTAAACAAGAGATATCAGGCTTCCAAGAATCGGATTGAAGATTTTATAAAAAGCAAATATTTCTGCAGTCATTTGTGACATTACAGAAAAATAAATTCATAAAAAAAAAACCAGTTTAATGTATTATTACCTGGCAATAAGATCAGTTGCAGAAGATGGAGAAACACCCTCACCTATTCCAACCTAAGTTGAACAATGAAGCACATTTAGTAAGCTCAAAGATCAGATAAATAATGTTGTCATCCAATACATGAGTTTTTTTAGATAAATAATGTTGTCATTCCATACATGAGCCTTTTTAGAAAATATCCATTTAGTGTAGTCCTTACCAATATCCTTCATTTTGCAATAAGTTTTCATGAGACTGTGGAACCTTTATAAATTTCGTAGTAGTAAACTAATCCTTAGCAAGGAGCATGAAGTTGACATATAAGGCCATCAAGAAATGCGACGTGACTAAACGCCAAAATGTCTTGCCCTCCTATTTGCCTGTTGCAAACGAACACAGACAAGGATTTTTCCACTGAATTTCGTTATCTACCAGACGTGAGAACTGAAGAATCACCTCTTACATCATACTATTTTTCAATTATGAAAATGATGAATAACCTCTTAATGCCTGTCCATAATGTGGTTAGAAAATATTCGTATTCAAGGTTTTCGACTTATAAGCTCTTTAATGAACCTTCATTTCATAATGCAATTTTTTTCATATAATGATAAAAAAGATACTATACAATAATGGTGGAATGGACAATAGACACAATCTCATTCAAGAGCAGGAGTCATTTTCTTAGCTGGGAAAGCTTCCAAAGATTCCCATAAAGATAAACAAGTCCATAATCTCAAACTTGTTGGAAGCATGGCCCCGAAATGTCTCAGAAAAACTTCTTCTTAAACTTTAAATCATGAAATTTTAGTCCATGTTTTTAAATAAAATATATTTTTTATTGTTAAATCAATGTATAGTGTAATACTGGTTTTTTATACAGGGTTCCCATCTTTGCAGGTGCAAGCATGTGCCATAAATATGGTGCACATGAAATGATAATAAAGAAAGCTATGTCAGGATAAGGTTCAACAATTCCTTTAATATTCTGCGTACTGGTGGACTAGAACCGCAATAATTCTACCGGAATATCAAAGCAACGTGAACCTCTTTCAATAAAAGTGCTAGGAGATTTTCTTTCCAAAAAATTGTTTAAGATATCAAAAAGATGTCATAAAGGTAATGATAAGTCCAAGAAAAGAACAAAGGTACATTTTGAAAAAGAATGGACAAGTTTCATTTGCGCAAAAGATACTGAACGGTAATTCAAACCATTGTTGGAAATCTGTTTTAACTACAGGACTGGAGTGTTGATCTACTGGCTACAAAGACCATTCAACACAAAGGAGAATCATTTGGTTTCTTAAATACATACCAAAACCCTAGACAGAAGAAGTCCAGGCATAAACCCAGCCACAAGAGGAACAAGCATTGTAGCCAAGGACCAACATAGTACTCCAACTTCGAGGACTTTCCTACATTAGAAAGACAAGAACTGATCTCAATATAACAAGAAGTTGTATTGAACTAGAAATATATGAAAAAAATCAAAATCGACAAATGACTGGGAAACCACATTGTCCAGAATTATTAATCTAAGCACACGCATTTAAAGAACACAAAAGTATCCATTAAAAGATAACTGGCAACGCATCCCCATTAAGCTCCAGGGAAAACAACAAGAAGTCTTAAGGTTTAAGGTTTTACTTGAATGCCAGACTCTATCATATTATGACCAATGTAAATAAGAAAACGTAAACAGAATCACATATTAATCGAAAAGGCAATTTTTTAAGCAATAACGTGCAAGGAAGAAAATTAGAATTAGAATTTTGCAAAAAATATGACAATTAAAACAGCAATAAATAAGAAGATTTTTAGCATCCCTAGAATACTTCAAAAAAAAGTCCAAATTGAGATAATAGTCCAATGAAAGTCACTAACCAGAATTTTTGGTCTGAGAGAACACATTACTCTATTTTAGGTTTACGCCACATGAAAGGGTTAAGGTGGGCAAAAACAAATATTTCTAACTTTCTAGGAGAATAATTTCAGGAAAAGACATGATCAGGACTCTCACATTGTCTTCATTCAGTTTGTCTTCAACACACAAAAAAGCCTCGAATTGAGATTGCATAAATTAATTTCAGGACAAAAATGCCTACCAAAAAACAAATTCACTCTTGTCAATATAACACCACTAAAGAGTCCTTTTTTTTCCATTTTATGCAGACAAAGAAGCCACGTTAAGACTGATGAACAATATCAGATGCAAATGATACAAATTAAGTAGAAAATATTTGAAAACCTACCCAGTTTATTCTATAATAATCATTGATACTATAAGTTAAAACCAACCTTCCACCAAAAATTTTTGCAAGCCAACCGCCAGGTAATTGGCTTAGAGCATATCCCCAAAAGAAGGAAGATTGAATCAAACCAGCCGTTGATGAGTTCCATCCAAACTGATGTGACATTGGAATGATAGCCACACTCAAGTTCACCTGAAACGCGAGGTACACTCCAATTAAAGATAAATAAAATTGAAATCATGGACAGAAAAAGTGGAATCAGAAGTCGACATTCATTCAGAATAAGGCCTAGATACCTAGTATGCATTCAGATGAGACAAGATGCTTGACATTTTAAGCATAGACATTACGCACTTGCTACACAACAACCCCTTGGAGGAAGGGCAAAACAGGGGTACAACGAGCGGTATTCTGAACACGAAGGCTTTCTCATTTTTCTGGGGTGAGGAGGAACGTGTGGAAGGCCAGCCATGTTTAGTTTTTTATTTCCCTCGTGTTCTCTCACTTCCCATTCTCTGAAACCACAGCCATACTCTTCATTTCTTTTATTTGCCTTCCTTTCTGTAGTCACTTTCTTCTGTTTCCTTGCTTTCACTAACCCAACTGCTGAAATTCATTTTTTGTTCACAGAAATAAGTTTCAACAATTCCAATCTTGTGATTTGTTCTCCTAGCATTATTCTCATCACTTTTGCATGCCTTGATCAAATGACACTTCTCTCTGCTCTCCCTCTCAGTTTCCTTGATTTTCTCTCTATTTCTTTTTTCTTCCATTCTTCATGGGCACACCCTGTTATTATATTTCCTCTAGATTCTATCCTTCGTTTGTACTATTTATATAAACTCATAGCATCAACGACATCATTCTCAAATCAACATGCAGACAGGTAGAGCCAGAAAAACTATGCACACCTGTATACCTCCTGAAAAATTCATATGCAGTATACATTTTGAAACGCGTCCACTAAATGGAGTCCCGATTTTTATGTTTACTGCATTGCCTTTACAATGTATGTGTGGTCAACCACGGGATACCTTAGAAAAATAAAATCATTCAGAAATAAGGTTATGAAAAAGAAAATTTTGAAGGAAATAAAACAGAAAAATACTTCCAGATGTCTTATGGGCTTTGTCTTCCATCTTTAAGGCATTGTAAGTCAGCAAATTCACTTGGCATTAAAAAATGTATATTTTTTCCTCGAATTTCACTGATCAAAGATGTCTCGATCTATAAACATGTCAAATTGAGTACCAAGAAAACCAACTTCAGGCGTACCCCCAAAACCTGAGACCTAAACGCATTTGCATTATGTTGAGCACCATATTTTTAAGAATTTTAACCTGAATAACAGCATGTAAATGACGACTAAAAATAAAAGATCCATGGCCGGTTTTAAATAAGCAAACAAAAATATGACAACGTCCATAACCAGCTATTGCTTGCTCATACAGCTAGCTTCGTCCTTCCTGAAAATGAAATATTTATACATTTTGTTCATTGGATGACATCATATCCTTTATTATGCTCTGTCTTCATGGATTTGTATTTTAATTAGTACACATTGGCATCTGATGCGGAACACTATTGAGGTGTGATGAAAATTGAAAGATAGTGCATAAGACTCAATAGGTTCTGAAATTGGAGTAATCCCAGTAGTTCAACACTATGCAATTTGATGTTCTAAGACAACGACATGGATAATGAAGCACATGCATCTCTAGATTATTGATGGTAAGATTTGCAGAGATCACACGAAAATGATATTAAGTTCTCGTTCATACAAGCACCTGAACTCGAGGAATGAGAAGACCACCTCAAATTCATCATAAAATAAGATTAGGAAGCATGGTCAAACTGACAGGTAGAGGAATTTTGTCACTTCCATAGGACAACACTTTAAAAATCTAAAAGAATAGTTGCCTTTGTATTGTTCAATATTTAAACCATATTCACAATTTGAATATAGTTCCCGAGCGAACCATCCAAAAGGTCTAGAAAATTTATGAGAAGCATGAGTGAGTGCTCACTACAGTCGTGGATCAATGAATTCTTCTTATTTTTACTTTATCAATAAATTAGCTAGAGGTGGGTTTGAAATTCGTGGAATTTATCCATTAAAACTTAATGGTTCTACTCGTGTTCTGAGCTTCACATCACGGGTGAATTTAGCCTGATTTATGCCAGGGTTTGTCCAATCACGTGTTAGCATAAGGTCAATCTTTTTTATGTTGAAAGCCAAATCACTCGAATAAAGTTCGTATATGGTTTCTACTAACCAAAATACAAATGTATAAGATATCAGATGATGAATCGTATTCTGTACCATCGGAAATAACATTAGATTTTGGCTGCTTTACTGCTTATCCTATCAAACGACAAATTATAACGCAGAATAAATCGGGAACAGATACCCACGGGGAAGCACACATTATGTTGAGACAAAAATTACTCACCCTACTTCCAACCAGAGAGCATTGAGAATTACTCCAATGAAACTAAATATTGCATTACACCACAAAAAAAATGAAGACCCACATATTCATGTGGGGCGTACCCGACGTGGATACGCAGAGCAGAGTGAGTATTTATCCAACCTGACTGAACGTTTTGGGTACCCAAAGAGAAAGGAAAATTGGGCCTATCTTACACAGGTCGTTCTGGTCGTTCCATAAATCTTCACAGCCCCCCCCTCCCCACCCCCAAGCCCCAACTCCACTTTTCATGTGTCATTATATACAGGTACTCCTGCAGCATGAAAACTTGACCCTGTTCCATTCTCCACATCCTCGATTTTATCCATCGTAACAATGGCGTGCTTCTGATACTTTTCAGATCACCCTTTTATTTAGTACCAGAAAATGTGGAACAGTAAGAGGACCTGATTCCCGGAATGACATGTAAAAAGTCTTTAAATCCCTAAGATTATTCTGTGGCGATAAATTTTCTATTCAAACAACAAAAATTACCTTGTCCATGTTGCAAATGACGAACGCAAGGGACGTGGTACCGATGAGCTTGTAACGTTGAGGCAGGCCCTCCCACGGAAACCGCCACTTGCCATCCAACGTTCCCTCCTCTTCTACCAGAAGTAACCCGTCTTCTTCCCCTCCCCCACCGTCCCCCTTCTCCTCATGTCCCCCGCCTTCCACCGCCCCCTCCCTCAATAACTCATCGATAACTTCGTTCTCTCCTCTCCCCTTCCTGAAGCACGGAGCACTCAGATAAGGCTGCTTCCCTCTTCTTCCCAACCTCCCAGCCCGTTGGTAGTACCCGGCGGTGGCGCTCAGTGGAGATATCTCGCGGCAGCCACGGACCCCATGGCGCGTTGGCGGCAACTGGCGCCGCCCCCTCCCGGGTCCAACTGCAATAACCGTAGTTAAAGCAGCAGCCGAACCCATGGGGACTGACGCTAGAGGGAGCTTCGAGGAGAAAGAAGAAGAAGAAGAAGAAGAGCAGAAATATGGTTCACCCTTCGAGAGAACTGGCTTGGATGGAGCCACGTGGGAAGCAGGGCCCACGGTGGGATCCTTGTGGTCCATCCGCAGTGACGTGGAAGAACCGGACTCAAAGCGCATTTTGTCATGTTGCGGAACGCACCACAGGCTCCTCGCATATTCCTCGCCCTCTAAGCGCAGGATTCGGGGAGGGGCGCTCGTTAAAGCCACTGACAACGCGACGCGTGGCATCCATTACCCTCTCCGTTCAACGCTCGTTTGCTTCTAATGATACACGGCAGTGGTGCCTGGCGTATTGTACCACGTCATTACAAGTCATAGACACCAAGGCCCCGGAGTTAACCAATATATATGGTTACGCATCAAAGAAGAGAAATCATAGGAATTATCAACACACACACCTCTTTTTAGTCAAAGAAAGCCGGATCCAGTAAACGGAGTGCATTCATTTTTTAATAATCAACATATGAGCCGAGTATGATCCTGCATTTTTTTTTCCATATTAGTGGTGTAAAATAATTTATATTTTATTTAATTCAATAAATGTTTCAAGCTAATCTATATTTCTTTCTCGTGTTGGAATGTAATTTTTAAATCATGTTAAATATATTTTTAATAATTAAGAATGATATATTTATACAGATTTCTAATATTATTAAATTACCAGGAATAAAATCGATAGTTCTGAACCCAAGGTGTAACATATCACCCCTTCTCTCTCTCCAATGATTGGCGCCTGTGGAGTGCAGGGTTGACTTCTATTACCAATTCTGACCAAAAGCCCATTAATTAGCTTTTTGGGGTATTCTTTTGCTTATTTAACAAATTCCAGGTGAAATATTACTAATGTCCGTTTTAAGCCACTCTCTCCTTCCCGCCACCGCGGCCTATGTAGAGGAAGAAAAAAAAAGATGGGCCAGCAACTCCGCCGCCGCCTCCGCCGTCCAGCCGTTCTTCCCACACCGGGCACCGCCAGGGCTTCGCCGGAAGGCCTGAAAGTTTCTACACATTGCCATATCTCCACGCTAGAGAGCTCTCAAATAGAGTCAACGATCGAATATCCAAGCTTCATGTTCTAGCTCTAACTCTAATGATAAGTAAAGGATGTTGAGGATGATCAAGATCCAGCTCGAGGCTTTCGCCCATCCTTGGATTGGGGGCTGCCACAGTTTGACTTCCGCAGCTTTCTGAGAGTTGACTGATCTTCTTCTGCAGGCTGCTGAACAGACAGGCAGGAGGAGAGAGAAATTAGAAGCTACTTCTAAAAGATGGATGAGGATCTGATGTTCTACAAGTTAAACAGCGGGCTGGATTGCCCATAATCAGCCAATGCCATGGTTCCAGGAAGAAGGGATAGATAGAGAGAGAAAGAGAACGTAGAGAGAGAATCCCAATGGCTACACCAGTTCACTTCCTCTTCTTAGAAGGAGGCTGCTCCTCTTCCTCCTCATCTTCTTCGTCATCTTCTTCGTCCTCGTCCTCATCTCCGTCGTCGTCTTCCTCCTCTTCATCGTCGTCGTCGTCCTCCTCTTCGCTTCCTCCGCCATTTGCTTCGGGATTCTCGTCGTCCTCCCCTTCGTTCTCGTTGTCTTCGTCACCCGAGAACTCCTCCTCGCCCCCATCCTCCTCCTGATCCTCCCCATCTTCGTCCTCGTCATCGTCATCGTCATCGTCTGTCTCGCCATCATCTTTGTTCTCCAGAACACCTTGATTCTTGGACCTCATAGCCACAGGTATGTGGAACCTTTGGAATGAAAGCAAAAAAAAGTCAACGGCTTTGTGCCAGCTCCTTCTGCGTTCATCAACAAGTCAAAGGTATGAGAGAGAGAGAGAGAACACACACCTATCATCTTCCCCTTCGTGATCAATCGCATTGCTCATCTCACCAGAGCATGATCCCAACTGAAGCAAGCAAATCCCAGATAAGAGAGGAAATCCAGAAAACCCAGAAAGAACCCACATCAGGACATTAAAAAGTAGTAAATGTTTTCCATTTTGGTAGCCATCAAGCATTTGTTTCCTGCAGAAACCTGTTCATTGAACCACTAGATATATGATAAGCCGATTCATAGTTTTTTTTTTAAAGATAACTCGCCAATAAACATGAATTCAGAAAAAAAAATCATGAACACGGAAGCTTCCTCTGAGATGTACAACAAGAACAAGGAAACACATCTCCACAGGCCGACTCATTAAGCTCTTCCAGAGAGCGGGGTTAGATTTGGGATCCCTCCTGTCGACGAACCAATCCAGTAAAAGATCAACGGCGCAGAGGAAGACCTCGAGCATCGGCCTCTAAACAGTAATGAACAGACAGCCCATTGTTGATGAACAGTTCGAGCACCATGAACAGAAAGCAAGAGATGATACAGCATTCCCATCGAAATCAGAGTTAAGGTAGAAGAAAAGTCGGACGGGGATGCTCAACAGAAAGCCAAAAATGGGAGCCGACGTATCTATCAATATAGGCTAATCCTGGAGCATGCGAATCCCATGATCCACCGGGAATCTTGGCCGGGACTATCGAGCGGGCAGGCAATGAATCCGAAGAACCGTCTCAAAAATGGGGGAAAATGATGGAAATATAGGAAGTGGGCTAAGATGCTCTGATAATAGAAACTTTCTCTGTCATTCATTAAATGGTGAAGCAACCGGAAATGGAACACACAGCGATTCGGTGGAGCACAAGGAAAGACTTCCTCTAATCAGTAATGGCGTAGCTTTCCAGAAGCAGGCAAAGCAACAGGAGAGAGAAAATAAGTTGCAGGCAGGAACTGAAGCGCAGAGGAACAACAAGAAGCACACATCGTCAAAAGCCAGCCAACGGAGAGCACACAGATGCCACCATCACTGGCTTCCGCCACTGAAACTCGCCGTCAACTTTCCCCAGTGAGCACGCGAGGTGACCAAATCGGCAGAAATTTTTTTCCCCCAATCGGCAAGTCTAACACCTTTTCTGATTTCTCCAATCTTCGCCGTGAAAGAACCAGGAAACAGAGCACAAGAGGAGCACATTACCGCCGTGAGAAGCTGAAGCATGGCGCAGCCGGCGGCCGCCACGACGTCCGCCATCGCCAACCGGAGTAAGCCCTCCAAAACGGCAGCGGATCCGGCTTCTCCACCTCGTAGCCGACTGACAGCCTCCATCTCCACGGCGAACACACCGGATGCAGCACCTTGCGACAGCGGCCACCTGAGAAGACCCCGAGACGAGGCGAGGGAGGCCGAAACCCTAGAAGAGCCCAAGAGAAGAAGACGAGGGATCGCAAAGCCTCCCTATTCCCCTTTTTATTTTATTTTCCAAAAAAAAAAATCCAAGGTAGGGTTTTTCAAGCGGGACTAGGGTTTTGGAAGGCCCTCCTATTTCACTCGCACGTGTCCGCCGCCTCCCCCAGCACGTGCCTAACACATGGTTGGACGCCCCCTGCTGTCCCTCGTCAAGTTGTAACTTGTTTATTATATATTAATAACAAAATAATATTTAATAACCTAAAATAATCAGAAGTTCGCCCAAAGAGGTTTGACCCTAGATCTCTCAGGTCAACGTCAAGGTGTAATTTTTCTTGTTAGTAATTCATTTCTAGTAAATTTAGGAGGGCCCCACCTGACCAATCAGCGAGAGGCTGGGCCCAGTTAAACATCCTGTCTGGAGGGAAATTTCTCGGCCCAAACTAATTGATCGGGCCGCTAGGCTGGGCTTCTAGGCTCCACCCAGCCAGCAAATATCTACTAAATCCTTCTCCGTTTACTTTAAAAAAATAAATAAATCAAAATCTTCCTTTTTTATTTTGAGATGTACATTTCCTTTTCTGAACACATCCCCATTAAAAAGAGGCGCCTTATTATATTCAGAAATATAAAGATATATATTATGATAAACGATTTACCATTTAACCAAGAAAGGGTATCTTAAAATCCCAATTAATGAGAAACCCTTTGGATAATAAATTAAAATTTTCCATTTTCTTATTTTTTTATGAAAATCACAGTCCCATATTGACATAAAAATACAGATGGTTAAATTCCTTTAATGATAAACAGTCATTTATATTATTATTAAAAATATATAATATATGCCATAAAAGATTATGAAATCTCTGTCTCTTGACCACAGAGAAATTTCGTCAACCATTTTAAAAAATAAATAATGCATCTTCTAGATAAGATGCCATCAGATTCTTCATTTTCTAATTTTAGGAAGTCGTTGGAAAAATGCATACAAAGTCGTATTATAATTGCCAGCATGGGAATATTGACATTCTGATTAGTAAACTATATATATATGTGGCGGGGAGGATGTGAGTGCTGGGAAATCATGGAGACAAGTCCTCCCCACCTTCCTCGCAACTGACGCGGTCAATGATCACTTAGTCAACTTCTTCGTTTCCGTCCTTGGACGACGGGTCTCGACACGTCATATGACGAAGATCTTAGCGTATTAACGCGCATTTTGAGGCGCAACCAATTATGGATGCCCACGTGGAGAGAGGTGCAGATGGGCATATCTGGTTGGGGAACGCCCTGAGAGCGTGGGAAGAGACGCAGAATGGGGTCGATGAAAAGACGATTTTGGACATTCCGCCGCCGTCCAAAATTCCATAGTCAAACTACCTCGACGTCCAGTTCGTTCTCTCCCTCTCTCTCTCCTCTCTCTCTATCTCCCTCTCTCTGGATTTTTTTGTTGCATCACGGTCTCATACTCTCTCATATTGTCCCTCGATTACTCCCTCGTAGAGGAACCCGTCGTCGGCGCGGCGGAGGATCGGGGGTGCGCCGGCGGCGGACGCCTCTCGCGGCCGCGCGTCGACGGAGATCCGGGAATGTCGTCGGAGATCGAGGTGGTGGTGGAAGGGGGAGAGACGGGGGAGGGGTTGCAGGGGGCGGGAGAGCAGGAGGGGCAGTTGAAGAACGACGTGTACACGGCGGCGGCCTACGGGGACCTTGAGAAGCTGCAGCGGCTGGTGGAGGAGGAGGGATATTCGGTCGCGGAGCCCGACGGGCTGGGGTACCACGCCCTCCAGTGGGCTGCTCTTAACAACCGTACGGCAGCCGCCCAGTATATCATCGAGGTGGGGATTGGCTGATTTGGGATTGAAGTTCGCTCCCTTCCTTCCGTGAATTCTGGACATTAGTATAATTTTTGGATTGATTCTGCTTTGAAAAAATCTCATCCTTATTTCTCAATTTCCGCTCTCTCTCTCTTTTTTGCCACAACGTGTTTCGGACGTTGCTGAGGGATCCATTGATGCACTTGTGCCAACCATTTTTTTTCTTTTCTGATGAGGGTATTTCTGCAGCTTAACTTGGGATTTTATTTCTTTTTGTTGAGGGGTGGAGGTTGGGGAGGGGCTTCTTCGAACACTTACGAGTTGCCTGTCTTGTTTAATATCATGTTGGGTATCCGTTGTTTTTTGCCAAGAATTACGTTTTTATGCTTATTGATGAAACTGTAGTTTTCCCTTCACCCTCGATTAGATTAAATTCGATCATCTTTGTGCTTGGTTTTATCGTATCAATATATCTTTCTAGTGTATCGCACTGGCACTACGTGCCTGGCTAATGTTCGGGGTTGGTGGGTTTATCTTGATCGCTGCATCGATTATTTTTTATGATAATTTCTGAAAATTTCCTTCTTCATCTCATTCACTTATCTGTGCTTGCTGGCGTGTTGGAAGCAGCACGGTGGCAATGTCAATGCAGTGGACCACACAGGCCAGACTGCTCTTCACTGGAGTGCAGTGCGGGGGGCAATCCAGGTAGCTGAGCTGTTGCTTAAGGAGGGTTCTAAGATCGATGCATCAGATTCGTATGGGTACCAGGTTTGTCTGCCAATGCTTAATTTTTTTTATCAAGTACCCACCCTTGTCATCGTATGCCTATCTGGTTTTAGATCAAAATGATAATTTCTCTTGCTTTTACTCCAGAATCGATTGTGTTTTTATTGCAGGCAATGCCCTGGAACAAATGTGTTGTGTTGTCGTATTGTAATTATTCCTCACGGATGTTTGACACAATGGTTACCGCATGCTGTCAATGGGATAAAGAGTGCATATTTTGGGTATAATTCCTCATGAGTAACCGTGGCACTAACTACTTCCTGGAAGAAGCCCGCATGAATAAATAAAATGATCGACTAGACGGCTGATATGTGGCCATATTCATGCCAGTGCCCTTTAAAGACGTATTCAAATACGTCTTTTAGCTGCAGTCATTTCTGTGCTGAGTAAAAACCTTGTCTAATGCCTTACAGTTTGTGGGGAATATAGGACAGGACGTTTCAGATTCTGGCGTACCTTTGTCAGCTTGATAGGTTTTAATGTACTGGTTCCACTAGCTGGGTTGTGGCCAACTAAACCATGTCATGCAGACAACTTCCACGTCTTGAATTGTGCCTAACTGAGAACTCTTTCAGCAGACAATATTATGATGCATGGAACTCTTTCATGGTGGATACTATTAGGATTCCTAAGCAGTTATTGTGATACACCTACGTTATATCCTCATTGCCCGTGACTATAGCTTGTAGAATCATTGTGAGTAACTAGAGAAATTTCGATACATGTGTTATATATGTGCATGCTTATGCAAAAGCTGAGCTGGATCTGAATCTGGCCCAGTATCTCTTACGGACGTTTAGCTATTCTGATAGGGTTAAATTTACCCCGATAGATGTTCTTTAGCTGATTCGAAACTTAATATGTAGAGGAAGTTATACATTCCTGCGGTTCCCTCTAGGTTTCCGTGGTATGTGCTTGTTGTACCCGTAATCTGCTCATTAAGTCAATGTCATTCAACATAAGTTGTTATAAATGGATAGATTTGACTTCTAGTTTTTTTTTTCTTGTCATTTTTCTGATTGTTTCTCTATTAGGTCATGGGAAGCTTTGTCATGAAGAAAGATGTAGATTTTCCTCATCAGTCAGGTAGAAGGCCACAAGTTTTCTGAAAACAGCAATAGGCAAGAGTAACATGTGGTCTCATACGCAAAGACGTATGCATTTGGAAGAATATGCTGACTATATGTTGATTTAAATACGAGAAAGACTTGATTTATATTCTGTCCCTAAGCAGAAGGCAATTTTGTTGATGTTTTTTGCGAAATACCTTTTTTATTAACCGAATCTCAATTATATGCAGCCAACCCATGTTGCAGCACAGTATGGTCAGACAACACTCCTTTACCTGATGGTAACAAAATGGAATGCTGATCCTGATGTCCCTGATAATGATGGACGGAGTCCCTTGCACTGGTACAATTCTTTTTGCCAATAACCACCTTGGCTTCATCACCTTATATTTACCTTCGTTCCTTTCATATCCTTTAATCGGCATCTCAGTCCTGATTACGGATTTAATGAACCTCGTTACTGCGGCATCTGGCTTGTGTTGAACCTTGTCTCTCTACATGTTGAGTAATAGAAGTCTGTCACTCTACATCAATCACATTTTCACCACAATAAGTGCGAGTGCTTTGGGAATCTCTTTATATTCTGCTTTTAACCTTCCTTCCGAATTTCAAAAATCCAAAGAGCTTCTTTTTTAGACCCGTAAGACAAATGCTGGTATTCCTGCAGATGTTTTCCTTTGGACTGATTGAAGACTGTCTAATTTTCAAAATATTGATACTTCTTTGAGTGCAGATAAATGCTGATTTCCTGCAGATAAAACAATTTTTTGCGTTATTTGGTTCTTTGATCGCTGTATACCATTCGGAGATTTCAGTTCACACTTTCAGTCTTGCTGATCATTCGGAAAAATCGCCAAAAATAAGTAGTTTTTATCATATGAAATATATTGTATGTTTTGGATGACAAAGTTTAGTTGTCTCTATTACTTGCAGGGCCGCCTATAAAGGTTTTTCTGATTGCGTACGTCTTCTTTTATTCCTGGACGCATATAGGGGGCGTCAAGATAAAGAGGGTACCCTCTATGTTACTCTGTTTTATTTTTATAAGGAGCACTCAATAGTAAATAATATTTGTGCACGTGGGAAAGCTTGCTTGGCCTGTGATAGTGCTCTAATTGCATGTCTTAAACTTGTTCTTGTATCCCATTAGGTTGCACACCTCTACATTGGGCAGCTATCAAGGGTAATCTGGAGGCATGCACAGTGCTAGTTCAGGCAGGAAAGAAAGAGGACTTGACTGTGACTGACAAAACAGGTCTTACCCCTGCACAGCTAGCTTCGGAGAAGAATCATCGGCAAGTGGCTTTTTTTCTTGTAGGTATTCTAGAACCATGGTAAATTTTTTAGAATATTAAGATCTGCAAAAGATGGGTTGAATTGCCTTATTCCGTTCTTACATGTTGAATACCAAGTCAATGACACCATTAATTTTTTTTAATTACGGATAAACTTGTATTCATAAACGTTCATTCGTTTTAGAGTCACTGCATTGCATTACTTTATCCCTCTTAATGTGCTACTTCTTACTAGGAAGAAGCTTGAATTAATACCCTTATCTTGTGCATACCTCCCACCAAGGGAAAGCAATCGGAGTTCAAAGTGTAACATAATGCCCCGCAGGATTCTAGCATGTGTCATTGTGCTGAACTTTGTCTCATTATATGATTGGGGGAGAAAAATGGAAATGTTGGATCAATTTTCATAATTACCTATCCTAGGATTATTTTTTTTGCCAAATATATGTAGCATGGCATGATTACTCTGCTTATAGATTTTCTTAGAATTCTTTTTGATCTATATTTCTGTGATGTGTGTGCCTGTTTATGCAGGGAAATGCGAGTAGGTTACTTGAGAAACGTTGTGATCGGAACACGCCTCTTGGAAAGCTTTCAAAATCAGGACTTGCTCCCTTCCTTTGGTCTACCATCATCATCATGCTGGTTCTCTATATCCATTCAGTTGCCGCTGGTATATTTTTTTCGTTATTTTCGATGGCGATCGCATTGGTGGCCTAATTTCATAAAAATAAGTCATAAAAAGTGTTCATCTTTTTTGCTTCAGCATCAGACTCATTTGGCTTGACTGCCACTTTTGGAATTTTTGCTTGGATTGGAGTTTTCCTCGCTACTGCTGGTCTGGTGATGTTCTACAGGTGCAGCAGGTATACTCCATGTGCTCTGAATATCTTTCACCATATGATGCTCATGTTCACATGAAGCTAAACGGATGATATCTGAGCTAAACATATGGGCGGCCAAAACCTGTTGTTGATATTTCTGTTGAAAATCAACGTTGGATCCCGGCACAGGGCTTTTTATAGGTTGAGTGGGCGGGATACACGAAGGTCGGCTGTGGGAATCAAATGAAGGTCTGCTAGTGTGTGCTTTCTGTCATGTTGGCAAAGACTGGAGTTTTGTGGGCTACTTATGAGGGAGTATGGGATCCATAGTAGACGAGAAATCACCCGTTTTATTGAGTATGCTGTAGTATGTTGACTCTCCTATAATAGATTCCTCGGCTAGTGGCACGAACCATTGACTCTGGTAAGGTTTTCAAGTGCTAAAGTCGGCCAGTGGGAATGATGGCACTACTAGCAAAGACTGTCTGCCGAAAACGCCATTGTTTAGGAACCTAGGTTATAGCATACCAATCAAACAGCTGACAGGCTTTTGGTCATCGATACAAGGAAGATTCCCAGTTTTGTAGTTTAAAATCTTGTCCTGGTCCCGGCAACTGCTTACAAAAATACAGGCCTCCGCAAAGTCGCAAGACCATGTATGAGTGCTGCGTCTTATTAGCTAGTTGGTGAGGTAATAGCTTACCAAGGTGACGATCAGCCATAGTGGAACTGAGATGCGGCCCGGAAGCATGGTAGCAGTGGTAGGAGCACAGCCAGTAGCATCCCTGCTTCAGTTAGCACCTATTTGGACTTTGAGCAAGTTCCATGTCACCTTCGCTCGGCTCAATAGGCAGAGAACAACAGGAGGAGGTCTTCCCAAACAAAGCAGCTGCGTGGGCCACATGTTGCACATAAGCCACCAGGTCGCACGACAGAAGAACACCAAGGATGAAGATGCAAACTCATCCATGCTCATACGCTTGCTGGATGTAATTTATTTCATGTATCCATATGGAACCTTGAACTATTGAAATGTTATGGTCGATGGACAGTGGCTAAATTTAATCTCTTGCAAAGCTGAATTCTAGAAAGTACCTTTTTCTTCTTCTTATTGCATTTGCATGTTAAGGGTATGCATTGATAACAACAAGAATCCTAAATTCTATTTTGAGGAAAACCATTAGTTCGAGCATGGTGATCTTGGCATATTCTTGTGTCTTTTATTTTTCAATTTTCATCTAGATATTTCACAACCTAGCTATTTGTATTTCGGATTGTGGGATCATTGCTCATAATTATCTCGATTAGGGGTGTTTGTGCAGTATGACGCCAAAATAGGTAGAATTATGTGATGCAGATATAGTTTGTCTGCCGCCACTTCGTGTTTGCTCAGAAGCAAAGGTGTGAAAAGTGGACCTGGTTCCCCTTCCTGACAAATTTTCTTTCTGGATTCACACTTAGTTCCGATTCCAAAGGTTTTTTTGTAATAAATATTATTTGCAATCTATTCTGCATGTGCTGATCATTATTTCCACTGTAATGCTTTGTCTTGGTTGCTGTTTGGGCTTTAATTCGGCTTGGCCAGCTAATTTCTTTCTCTTTCGTTTTCAGGAAGGATCCTGGTTATATCGCAGTGGACACACGTGATTCACAGAATCTTAGAGATGATGTAAGTTCTCTACTTTATGGATAAGTGGGAATAGCACTTTGAAGTTGATGTGTTATTACGTTGTTTTGGCGGCCCATTAATCTCTGTATCCTTGTGTTACCAGTTGGGATACCAATGAAATTCTTACTAATTCCTCACTATTTCGGTCCCCATTGGTGCCATTTGTTATAGACTTTTACTTTCCCTTGTCCAACCCTTTGTCATGTTCTTTTGAATCTGTTTCCTGATCCGACAACTTTCTGTATCATGTTATGGTGTCTAGGTTGCCATCTTTTACTGATCTGAGAAAAGAAATATTTAGGGTTTTGCATTTTGGATCTTCATTTTTCATCCTGTTTAGTGGATATTCCCAATGTAAAGCATGCGGAATGTTCTGCGGATCGTAACCGATCAAATGTCTCCATGGAAACAAATCTATGATTTTTTTTCGGCTGTTATTCTCCTTTGAAGAAAGTTGTACTTTGTGATGTGGATTTGAAAATATCTCAGGTTCTTCTGTGGTATGTTCAGTGCAAGATTTTCAATTTTCCTCCATATTCTAACTATTTTTTTCCCTATTTAATGTTTTTCCAAACTGGAGTTGTGGTCAGTTAAATAATCTGAGGTTTTAGTTTACTTAAAAGATACTCCTTGTCCTAAACATCACATGGTCTGGTCTGCTTAAATTAGAAAAATATATAATTGTCTATGCTCCAAACTTTAATCACTTTAATTATACAACGTAACGCATTTAGTCTGGTGCAGCCTTTCTTAAAAATATATAATCTGCATGAACTCTTGGGGTTTAGACTCTCTGTCAAGCCTAGTTCTATTCATGGAAATTAAAATTATGAGTCGTCGATTTGCAATTTTTTTCCCTAAACCTTCCTTCAAATATGGAATTATTGCCTATAATATTATGCCGACTAGCTATTCGTATAAATGCAGTTTAAGCTTCCAACTCCAATTGGGTGGCCAAGGATGATCCTGCTACCTTATGCGTTTCATAGGAAACAGCCAGAAGGATAAATCTTCATTTAACACCATCAGAACTGCATAAAAACTGGGGGCCCAAGAATGAACATTATTAAATTGTAAAAGTTTTTAGTTTATGGTTTCTTGTCAAAGCCTTCCATAAAACGTGGAGTTAATTTCTATATTATACCCACTAGTCCTTGCTATAAATGCAGTGTCGTTCCAAATCTAATCGGGTGGCCAATGATGATTCTCTTAAGTTTTTCCATATTTTTATATGAAAAATCAAGCACGATAGATCTTGACGTGAAACCAAGAAAACTGCATAAACTCAGGGTTCAATAATGAATGCCAGGCCTGCTTCTATCTTTAGAAACTAGATTATAAGTCCTTAATCTGCCATTTTTTTCTGAACCTTCCTGAAAGCACTGGCATTATTAACTATAATATTGTACAAGCTAGACATTGCTATATATGCTGACAGTTGGTTGCTATCTCTACAGTTCTTTTAATTTTAATTCTTTTCTTAATAGGAACCATTACTCAAGACGAAGCTGAACGACCCTGCTCTGATTGCTGGGAATTGGGCTCAGCTTTGTGTGACCTGCAAGGTGCTCTGTACTTGCAATTTTTGATAAATTTTGTCTACCAGCTTGTTTCCATGTCATTTGGTTTCCTGGGTTGCCTCGACATTTGCATTCTTTTTATTTTCTGACGAGATATCTCTTGACATTAACCAGATTGTGAGGCCTATTCGTTCGAAGCACTGTTCTATGTGCGAACGATGCGTTGAGCAGTTTGATCACCACTGTCCATGGGTATCGAACTGCATTGGGAAGGTACTTTCAATTAAATCCATGACCGGTATATTCATCTCAATGTGATTAAATCGATATTAGTTTATCTTACTGAGAAACAGATCTCCAATATGCTGGATCTATGTCTCTCATATAGATGAACTTCAGTGAGATTTAAATTACTTGAATAAGTAGCTATCTATGGATTCATCTGCAGAAAAACAAATGCGATTGTTTCCAATATTCTGCATCAATGTCTCAGCGCGATTTAATTTACATGGATTCATCTGCAGAAAAACAAATGGGATTTCTTCATGTTCCTCTTTCTTGAAGTCTTGGCCATGATAATCACCGGCGCTGCAACGATTATAGGTGTATATTCTGTTCATGATTCCTCGAAATATAAACCATTTAGTTCGTCATCTTCCCTTTCCTTGACGGATCAGAGTTGTAATTTTGCAGTAATCACGAGGGATCCCACGTCCCCGACCTCCTTCGGTGGTTGGGTCAGCCATGCTGCCAGTCAGCATCCGGGGGCCATAACCTTCCTGATGATGGACTTCTTCCTCTTCTTCGGGGTTGCAGTATTAACCGTCGTCCAGGCATCTCAGGTATGAGTTTAGTCTGCAGGAGCTGGCTTTTTTTGGTTCAGATCTATGAATTTAGTGCGATGAAGCTTCTTCTTGGTTCAGATTTCTGTTTAATTCGAGCTGCTCTCTCTCTCTCTCTCTCTCTCTCTCTCTTCTGTGCTGCAGATCGCCCGGAACATCACGACCAACGAGATGGCGAACATGATGCGCTACGGGTACCTGCGGGGGCCCGGGGGGAGGTTCAGGAACCCCTACGACCACGGGATCCGCAGGAACTGCCACGATTTCTTGGTGAAGGGCTACAACGATGATGTGGAGATCGCCGAGCGACCGGCGGCCGCCGACGGCGCCGCCATGATCCAGATGTCCAGAGCCCTCGGCCCCTCCGCCGGCGAAAGCTTCCCCTCCCACCAAGTCAACGGCGGCGGCGGTGGCGCTGCCGAGGTGGAAGGCAGCGGGGGGAGGCCCAATGGCTGCGGGCATTCTTCCGCAAGGTGCTGCGACGGCCACAAGAAGGCGGATGGGTCGTCCCCTCTTGGGTTGGGGTTGGGGCTGGGCCTCGGGAACAAGGTCCGTCATAGCGCGAGGTCAATGGCGGCGGCGTGATTCGTCGTGATGGGTTGACTCCGTTCGATTTTCAGGGGGGGCCTTTGTTTTGGGGGGGGGGAGGGGGGGATGGGTTTTGTAAATCTTGAAGAACAGCTGGTATGAGTTATGCCCTTCTTTTTTGTTCGCCTTCTGGTCAGAGCGGTTGACCCCACAGTCTTCGGTGCCCCCCGGAGCTCAACGGGCCAGGTTCCTCATCGTTGCCCTTTCGACGTTGACTCTTGTCGCCAGTACTTCCAGACGTTGACTTTCCACATCCAGATCTCTCTCTCCCTCTCTCTCTCTCTCTGTTCTAATTCCCCTTCGTCTACTCCTCCGTTGCCGTTGACTCTCTCGCTCCGCGTTGCCTGTTTCTCGTCGGTGAGTTCATGTTCTCTCCAGAATCGAAACATAGCGAGAGAGAGAGAGAGTTCATAGGGCATTCACGAGGGAAAAATAATCTATCACTTTCGAAGAAAGCATCAAACCATAAAGAACAGAGCACAATCTCCGGCCGCATCGTCCGGCCATCAACTTCTGCCCCTGAGAGAGACCCCCTACTTGTCTACCTGACCACATATTAGATGATCCTTCATCGGGTGAGAGAGAGAGAGAGAGAGAGAGAGAGGGAGCGAGAGAGGGCCTAAGCTAAATAGGAGGCCTGAGCTGGTGAGAGCACACTACACTTGTTTGGCTGCATCACATCTACGGTAGAGAGAGAGAGAGAGAGAGAGAGAGAGAGAGAGGCGGGGGAAAGAATGGTGTAAGAATTAAAAAAGAGTGCGGATCTTGCATCATCTTCTTCTTCTCCCATTACCTCTGCTGGTCGGAGGCTGAGGCGGCGGCTGGGGCGGTGGCGGGGATGCTGGTGGTGGAGCCATTCTCAACGGGCGGCACCGCCCCCCATTTCCCTTCCGACTCGAGCGGCTCCAATACATGGACCCCGCCGTCCGTCAGCCCGAGAGCAAACTGGTTCGGCTCCAACGGGTGCGCTGCGATCACCAGCGGGTACACATTCGAGCTGCAGCCAATTTCGGTTCATGGAAACCATCAGCATCTCTTTCTTGAGAGAGAGAGAGAGAGAGAGAGAGAGAGAGAGAGAGAGAGAGAGAGAGAATTACACCTGACATTAGCTGGTAAGTAGGCGTTTGGGCTGACCCGGCAGCGAAGATGGAGGTGCGGGGCGCTGAAGATGAGCACAGTGGCATCAAGGAAGCTCGCATATATCAACTGACTGTCGCACGAGAAGGTCGCATTTGTGATCGGTGCAGAGGACTCGCGGGGAATATACTACAGAGGACGATGAACAGAGATGAGTCGGAACTTGCCCAATATGGAAAGAACATAAAAGAAAAGAAAAGAAAAGAGAATTTATTCTCTAGATTTAGTGACGGTTCATATTCAGCATGGGCTCATAGGGAGTAAGTATGCTATGGAAGACGATGAACAGAGATGAGCCAAGAATCGCTCAAAAGGGAAGGGGAAGAAGTGTACCTGCTTTATACACTCTAATTTAGTTGTTTCGTAGATGGCGAGCTGGGTCTCATGCACAGCCAGGAAATGGATCTGGTCCTGGTGGAATTGGACCTTGGTCTCTGAATTGGAACTCGGCGTCCGCCCTGCTGGGATCTGCAAGAATCTGCTCCTCTGCTTTTCCCACCCGTCGGTCCCCCAAACAAAGAGCTGTGGCCAAAAGGTATTCAGAAAACACGACCAATACATTTAATCGATCGATTAATTTGTTAAAGTTTTCAGGATTTATGGTTTATGGTATAGAGCTTAGGGTTTAGGGTTCAGGTTTAAGGTTCAAATTTCAGGATCTAGGGCTTATGATTCATGGTTTTCTAAACCATTTCTAGGGTTTAGGGTTGATTTACTAAATGATTGACTAACCTGAGCATCAGCTCCAGACGAGACGAGGACATTCAACACATGAGAGAAAGCAAGCCCGGTAATCTTCTTCGAGTGCCCCCTGAGCTTACTCTTCACCTGCATCATTGCAGTGGTCAGACTCTCTCTCCCAAAGTTCCTTGATGAATACTGGGCAGTGAAGTCATCTAGACAGGCCCATACCTCATCAACCCGGACATTGTAAATTTGAATGGTTGAGTCATCCATGCCGATAGCAATTATGTTATTATCTTGAGGGTGGAATGCGAGAAATGTGGCAGCTGGTGGCGGCGGCATGAAGGTCGTCATTGTCTGCAAGTCCCTCAAAGAAGTTAAAAAAAAAAAAAAAAAAAAAAAAAACCAGGAATAACAAATCAAACAAGGGCCGTTGACTTGAGAACCTGCAACGCATTACCTTAAATGTCATCATATTGAAGAGGGAAATCTTTCCCCCCGAGGCTGACATGACATAAGAGTCGTTCTTTGATAGAGCGAAGCAGGGGACGGCTTCCTCCGGATTGGTGTCAGTGATGTCGTTGGTCATCAAAATCCCGCTCGGTGGTTGCCATAACTGGGGCTGGAGGCTGGCCGTTGCCTGGAGGATGAAGCATTCGTGTTAGTTCAAGGCAATTATATCTTGTGATTAGAAAAATAAAGGCATAGAGCCACTTTCATATTTTTCGTAGGCCTACCTTTCCACTGGAGTTGCGGTCATTTCGTGGCCACTTCCAGAGTAGATGAATGGCATTAGACGCCAGCGCCAAGAGAGAGATACCAGAATTCGTATAAATCAGTCTAGATATCTGCAAAGATAAGATCAGATCAGATTGAGCTTCCACTGGATGTTTAAACTGGGTAAGATTTTCTAATCACTACAACAAGAAACAAAGTTCAGGTTTTTTGTTGAAGGAATTTTTCAAAGAGGATCGAATATTCTGAGAAAAATACTGTTGAGACATTCAAAAATGAAATAGAAACCAGTGAAATACACGTTCAGCAGATGTGATCACAATAAGAGCGGCCTGTTTATTCATCTCTTGAATGCTACTTAGTCGCCATAGGTAATACATATAGTACAGTTTAATCATCAATTTCTATGAGGAAATCACAACTGGTCCAGATATAGACATAGCTTTTAAATGGGAAAACTTTGCCTCCAACCCCAATGACGGAAACTTTTGATTACTTTACAATGTGTCAGGGAAAAATAAGAGAGATTCAAACTTCCACAAAGAAGGCGTGGCTTTCTTAAACTTGCCATCATATATGCTTGAAAGATTCATTCATATGGCAATCTCATGGAGGGTATTATTAATATATACACCTCTGTGTGTGGGTTTTTTTGCAAGATAAAATAGGACATGAAATACTAGTACCAAAAAAGTATGCATTATCGTTGGAGGAACACTCATCATGTTGAATAGCTGACATTTACAGGTGATCCTTATACAGATCCTAGAATATAGGATTTGAAATGGGAAGGCAACTCATAATTATGTGACATGAATCTACAGAGATCTTATGGGTAGCAATCGAGGAATAGTGGTAGTAAGTAGGGCTTCTGATGCAGCAAATAATGAGCGGTGCTGAGGAACAGTTGCATCCCTCAATTATGGACATCATAAGTTTTCTATAGTTCCATGGAGGCTTCCAGGTACAGACATTCGATTTATTCAATAGTGCGCCATTGTAAAGCAAGTGGGACAAATGACTTTATTGGTTTTGTAATTTACCTTGCTAGTTCTTATGTTGTCCATGAGTCTCAAGGATCGGCATTGAACCGGCTCGCTTATCTCCGTGAGCTTCCATATCTTTGTCTTGTCCACTGGTTCTTCAATTATTCTTGGTTTGACATCTAAGTTCCTGGCATCCCCATTCTGTAAAGATGTAATGTTAAGTCAGCACGAAGTCATGCCAACCTGTTGATCTTCAAAGATTCAAAAACCTGGTGAGCTATGGCAAAAACATGATGATAACAAAATGTTCTCAAGATTATGCAGAGAGAGACAGAGAGAGATAGAGAGAGAATAGATGATTATAATTTTGGAAGGTGATTAATTTGCACGAACCATCCCAGCCATGGCCACTGCAGATACACCTCTATCAGTGAGGCCAGCACTTGTTACAGCAGTGACAGCAGACATGGGGTTTATTATTGGCTGTAACATAAGAGAGAGTTCGGATTACCATATTGCTTTGGACTCACAGCAGTTTCATGGTCAGAAGCCTTACCTTTGTGATGGTCTCAGATGCAGCCCTCGAAGCATCAAATGAACGATTTTCAAACGTCCGAAGCAATCGAATCCCATCAGCATTTGCCAATATTTTGATTCCGTTATCATTTGTAGAAACGGCTAACAGTGTGCCCTCTTTGTTGAAACGAATACGTGGGCTTGCCTACAAATTTTGAAGACATATACATAAATCGACTACTTTCTTCAATCAAACTGGATATTGATTGAAAAGTTTAGCAAAGTACTTACTGGCAAGCCCCCCTCGGCATCAACTGTTGTCAGTAGGTTCACATTATCCATATCCCAGCATTTAATCATAAATTCATCACCGGCGGCCAAAAATCTGTTCCTGGTTGTGTCAAACTGTACAACCCCTAAAGATCGTTTCCGGAATCCCTGGTAAGTTCTCTTCACAGCACCTTCACTCTCATTCCATTCCACAATGAATGATTCCCCTTCTTTGCTGGTTCCACAAGAAAAGAGCCTACAATTCCCAGAACACATGTAAATTACTTCTATGAGAAAAAAATAATTTGAAAGGACTGTCTGACCATCTAGAAAACTTACCGGGAACCATCAGCACTATAAGCCATTGTAGTGCACCAATGACCCGGGGCATCATAATCAACTCTCGAGCCCATATTATCATATAGCCATGCCTTAATCTTTCCATCCAGAGCTGTGGAAAATATGAACTGAAAAGAGCCCAAAACAGTACGTTGTGAAGAATATGTTAACAGCCCACTTAGCCATCGAGGTTGAGGTAATATAGGAGCATTACCTGAATGTTTTCCTTGTGATGTGGGCAAACAGAATAAACTGGAGCCTCGTGACCCTCAAAAGTATACTGTTTTGTCCCATTAGTTGCATCCCAGACCTAGCATATGGTTGACAAGAGTGAGGCCCGAGTACAAGTTATCATCTACTGCTTCAGAGAAAATGGTACTCTTAAAAGCCAACCTTGATGGTCTTGTCATCACCGCAGGTTATTACACATAGCTGCTTATTTGGATGTGCGAACGCCAGATCATTAACTCCACCAACATGAGCATCAAGCTAGACATTCACATAACATGTACTAAAATATTGACCAATGTGAAATAATTAATAAAATGGCATTATAATATCAACACAAACTCTTGATTATACCTCCAAATGTGTCTTTATCTCGTCACCTCCTAGGTAGGAATAAATTTGCACAATATGCCTTGAATATGCAACTCCTGATGATGATTGACAAAGCAATGGAGCACCAACATTGGTCAATTATCCAGACTACATACAATATCAATTGCTGTGGTTAACTGGGCTTACCAAATAAAGTCCCGTCAGGACTCCAAATGATACGGTTAACTGATACACTTGGATCTTTAACTAAGGCCGTCTGTATTCCATTGGACAGAATTTCAGATAGCAGAATTTCTATTATTGGTTTGTGTGATCATTTAAGCAGAGAAGGATACAAACCTGCAGAGGCACAGAGCACTGTGCAAGATCCCACACCTTGAAGTTCTTCAGAACTAATCTTACCCGAGTACCGACATCCCATAGTGCAATATCACCAGAGTTGGTGCCAACTAAAAAAAATGGTACAGACAGCCTCATTACTCACATGCCACCTTGTGAAGGTACACTGAAGCGATAATTTAATTACAGAAAATGTAATTAAGAACGGAAATTCTGCAGAAGAAATCAGGACAAAGCAAAGAAATTTGTGAAATCTGACTTACAAAAAACGAAAAGAAGAAAAATAATTTCCATGAATAACCAAATACACAACATAAAAGGAAAGGTAAATAGGCTCATGAGGTCTGACCAACAAGTATAGTCTGCTGGATAGGATGAAAATCCATGCTCATGGGATTTGAGCCCTGGCTTAATGTCCGAGCAAGAGCCTTGGGCAAGTCATCAGATGAATGCATAACCTGATTATGGTTCTGCGCTGGATAGGTGACAGGCAATATATTTACTGGCAAGTTCACCTGCACAAAAGTTGAAGGCACAAAGCTCTTAAAACAAAATGGTTGGAGTAGTTATAACCTGGCAGGGGGAAAACAAATTAAAATAGGTCGCTTCCTTTTGAGAAGATGCTACACCTCTTCAGAGATACCAATTGGTCTTGTTCTCTTCGGAACATGATCAGAATCCGCTGAAGGGTAATCAATAGCAGCATTATTGGAGGGGGGAGTCCTGGGATGTTTCAGGATTGCGGCTACAGTGAAGCATTCGAACAATCAAATCTCTGACAGCACCAGTAATCAATAGATTCATCACAAAGATCACATGAAGAAATAACTACCTGGATTTGCGGGGCCACCAAGGCCAATAGGTCCACCTGAAACTCCCGAATGAGTTGCGGCTGGTGGATTGGACATCCATCCAGCCAGAGGAGTGGGACCTGGAGAAGGCGCAGGCTGAAAAGGCTGAATTCAAGAAGCCCCATCAGCCCAGAAGAAATTTAAAACATGAAATTAAAATGCGATGAAGGTACACCATATCGTTACCCCATGTGCACCCAACGGAGGGAAGCCTCCTGCTTTTGGGATAGAACCAAGCAAAGGATTATTCGCTGGTGATGGAGCTCGTGCACCATTTGGTTGTCCACAACAGTGATCCACGAAAAGGGTCTTAATGTCTGGATTTGGCCTTGGATTCTTACAAAGCTGGTGTTGCCAATTTAAGCTGCCAGATCACATCACAATATCATTTCATTTTGCCATTGACCGAAAGAGTATATGTCAGCACACAAGCATATGACCGTGTGTATATAATGCAGATGAGAGGACAATTTGTGGATTCCCTGACTTTGGCTTAATAATGTAACCTAGCTCCTAAAAACATGACATATAATAGCAGATAATATTTCAGAGTACACATCTTTTGTAGACTATCTATGTCTTCATTGGAATAATAGCTGATACAACATGATTTACCAGGATTCAAAATCACGGTAGTGCATTCCCGTCAATATGTCCTTCCTAATTTCATACACAACGATCAATGGATGATAAAGAAAGAGCGACCTAGATCTCCATTTAGGAAAAATTCCAACAATTTCAATGAAAATAAAATATAGAAATTTAAGATCAGGTTCAGACCTCTTTTACTAGTAAGTTATCATTGCACATGTAAAGCAACCGCCTTTTTCAAAGGTTGACAAATATGTTTTCATAATTCATTTAACGTTGACAGTAAAGCGGACTAGAAACGCAAAAGAAATTTTATTTGCGCATTACCCCAGAAGTATTTCTATGTCCCCTTTCTACAGAGATCTAACTTCCGAAATCCTATACTTAAAACAAGTTGTGCCATTTAGAACCCTGGAATAAGGATCATATTCTCTAACCTGAATTAACTTCTGCACTAATGGTATGTGGCACTGTGAATTGGGTGATTATTTCATCTCTTCAGAGAATATTCATTTCTAGGCATGGGTAAAATATCAATAGGATAACTCCTGTAGTGGTGAATATTGCCATTAGTCTAATCGTTGACATAATATGTGCAAATAAACAACAAAATCGTAGCCAATTAATGTTTATTTATAGGCATGGGATTTATGACCTGGGCTTCCATACAAAAAAAAGTATTAAGCGATACAAAAGCAAAACAAAGCTGTGATTAACTACCTCTGATTTATGAGGGTACGCAGCCTTGCATTTTTCAGGTTAGGAAATAGCAACTTGTCACGGAAAAGAGGGTTGGCCTCAATCAGTTTCTTGAGTTCAACCAGCATTATTGCTCTAGCCGATTTTGTGTCTCCATACTTCGAAAGTTGCTCGTTTTCCCTATCAAATGGATGACATCAATTATCACGATACAAAGTCAATTAACTACCCAATTCACAAAAAGGAGAGAGAAAAAGCTAGTTGACATCTACAGAAATGCAATCAATCTCACCTGAAGTTGTCCAGGGTTAGGAGCTGTGTTATCTCCTTGAATAACTCTTCATTGAATGAAGCGAATACTTTCAAGTCCTTTATTAGAATGTCTACTGCCTTTGCACGGTCATGTCTAGCGAATCAACAACAACAGCAACAAAAAAGGGCTAAGAATTTTGATAGCAAGTCAGGTTCCTATAATGTAATAATCCACGTGAAGGTTCGGGCGTCAAAAGGCTAGGGCCTGTTACTTGTCCAGTGCCTCAAGATACTTCTGCTTGCGGATCTCAAAGAAGATCTTCATTGAGTAACGGTTGTCATCAACCTTTGTGAATCCAGAGAGGTACCGCTCGACCTCATCCCAATTTCCACTGTGCACCTCCTCTTCGAAATACTTCATATTGAAGAAGAAACCTGATTCTTGCTCGAGCCTTTTTCCACAACAGAATAAGGAGAGATGTCAACAGCAAAGAAACTCAAAACCCAGGGAAACATCAGACGAATAAGACTGCAGCTTCCATTAAATAACCCAAAAAATTCATTTAACATAAACTGACTTGTGAACTGTCTCTCTGAATTTCTCTTCGTCGAGGAACTGCAGGATGAGGAACACCAGTTCCCTGCTTAAGGAAGTCATACCTGCTTCCCTCTCTCCTAGCCTTCAAACGTGAATCAGACAGAAATGAAAATAAAACATTATCAGATCTCCCGCTCAAGGACCCAGCGAATAGGACATTTAAAGCCTAATTGTCAAAAGGAGAAATATAAGTATAAAAGGCCAAAAACAGACTTTCGCAAACTGACCATACAAGTAAGAACCAGTCGGATAACTGAAAAAAACCTAGAAAAAAGAAATAACCGCAAGAGGGGGAAATAAAAAAGGAACAAAAAAAGCCCAAGTTCGTAAAAATTTCAAAACGAAAGCACGGGAGAGAGATCGGCATCCTGGTGGGAAGGAAGAAATCACGTTTCCCAAATCTAGGGCACCTGGCGACCCGGATCGAGGAGACTTTCCGCAGGCGAGGGGACGGGAAAACCGTCCAAGTGAGAAAATTGACAATAAAAAGCGAACAAGACGAGAAAAAAGCACACAGCTCAGAACATCTGACCGAACGATTCTCCCTCACCTGATCGAGGAACCGGCCGGCAGGATCGATCTGTCGGAGAAGCGGCCAGACTGCTAGCGGGGGAGATGAGCTTCCCGCACGGCCAGGCCTCGCTCTCTCTCCCCCTTCGCACTTTCTCTCACTAGAATGTTTCTTAAAACGCCGATTTCCAATAGAAATGAAAAAAATATCGCATGCAAACAGATGCCTCGCTGCGATCTGTATTTATAGGAAGAGGGGACAATAAGTAAACGCAACAATCTGATATGTAGATCTGATTATATAAGTTGTTCAACTTATACGGCTTATAAGCCGATTGGGCTGATATTGTTCAGTACGTATCACCGTGTCTTCCATGTGAAAGAGTGGGCCCTAAGCGCTCAGCCACGTTTCCTCAACCAATCTGGACTGACAACTGTCCTTCCCACTTTGGAAAGCTCCTTTGATCTGCTCACCCGAGAGTGAGCGTAAACATAGGGTACCGAAGTCAAATCAGAGGCCCGGTCACAGTTGGTTGTGATCACCTCCGTGACCATATCCCTCCGGTGGGACCCTGTCCTGATAACGATAAAGCGCCGTCCCACCGGTACTCCCCGAATCTAGACTCTATTTTGTTGCAAATTACTGAAAGGCCACTCATTCTTTATTGCGAGGGCATCTCCCCACGTGAACCTCTCCGCTTTCGGGCGCCCTCTCCGCTCGCAGTTTACTGCCGATAATACGGCGTTCCGCAATGTTTTCGCGGTATGAAGCGGGAGAAACTGTAGACAAGGGAGAGGAATCGTCCGGGTACCTTACTGTCACCGCATGTGAAAAGGTCCCGAGAGGGTTGATAGTCACGCAGATTATGCGGTAAGGGTACCGCAGTAGCCAGATACTCGGTTGACCGAATAGATGAAAAGCTGGAATCGAGGACGGAAATGACCGTTGGCGGGGCCCAGCAGATTGCGCGGCTGAATCTAGCCGTCCGATTGCTTGAGGCAACGGATTGGGGTATTACCGCCATCGGACAGTCGAGATCGGTGGAACATCTCGAGGGAGGAGCACCGAACGGATCTACAAAAAGGGGTAAGGGAGACGTTTTGGGAGCGGGGCCCACCTTGAGACACGTCATCCGTACATACGGTTATCGTCTTGATTGCATAAATGTCCCTCTTTTTTCGGCGACTGAGACAAACGAGACAAATCGCAGAATAATAAATAAAATGTTATCCACAGGTTCCGACCGTTAAAAACATTGTTTTTAACGTTAGCGCCACTTGGATGAACGCGGGATTCCGATCTTCACGGTGGGCCCCGCCCGATAAGCGATTTCCCAAAGTGGTTTATATTTAACATAATTTTAAATTGGTAATTTATTACGTGTAAGTCGCCTATTTAAAGTAGTCAAAATACTCTCAGTCAGTGTGCGTGAGGTCAACGAGTGGGTCAGCCCGCTGGAGGTGGCGGCGAATGGATAACGTCGGAGCGTCCGGTTCAAATCGGAGGACCCGGTGGGCCCCACCGCGGTGAGATCCGCTCCGATCGTGTCTCTCGCCGAATAGCTGACGTCAGTGGTCGTCCGCTCGTGCGTTGCGCGATAAAATCGCGGTCATGTCTTATCATATCGTCTTACTTCGCGTTCGGATGAGACAAAAAATCGCCATTTGCAAAGACTAAAGTGATGCGGCGCCAACCATAGATGGTATTTACAGAAAAGCCCCTAGCAACTGATCGAATAATTTTTTATCCGTTGAATATTTTGCCTCATTCGATTTACCCTTGTAAATCTGTTATCCACCCTATAAAGCGCGGGCTGACTTACACAGTAACGAATGCGACATAATCTTACCTATTATGTGAATGTACTGGGCCGAAGTGATTACAAGAAAAAAGCCCAATGGGGTACCGAAATAGGGGAAAAGCCCAGTGGCAAGTAAGAGAATGGTCAAATGACTAAACGCACAATAAACCATGTTTATTTAACATTTGAAACATTCTGGTTGTGATTTTTTGAAGCAAAGAAATAACCATAAAATGTGAAGAAGGCAAAGGTTCATATTCCATCCTTTATTTAAATATAAAGTATGTGATATGGAGCATGAAGAATGGAAAGCAATGATTTGCTCAAAAAAGGATGATCATAGGATCATTTACCATGGAGCATATTTTAGCAAGATTTACAACCTATAACACCAAATAACATTTATTCACTTTTTCATTGCAGCACCTAGAATCAAGGACTTGAGTGTATTAAATGTATTAATTTTTTTTGTTCAGTTTACATAGTATATGGGAAGAAGGTTGGAAGGTTGGAAGAACATCTTGAATAATAAGCAGAAAAAAATCCCACTTGAGATGGGTAACACTAGCGAGTAAAGAAAAATGTGAGCTCAAAGGATGGAGCACATGTGTTGATTGTAACTATACTCAGATGATGGAACTTGGATTTATGTAAAAGATACAAAATAGTAGTCCAAGACATTGAAACCAATTGTCATAACTAGAAGCTATTTGAGAGCACCCAACACTTGTTTGAGAGGTATCTTATCATCAAAGATACTCGAGAAATGTTCTGCCAACTCACACATTCATAAAAAGATTTCATAAGCTAACCACTAATCTAACAAGGTCAAATAAACTAATATCTTACAAAAATTCATCATTGGTGGGCCCTAATGTTTTTGTTTATTTCATTGGTTCTTAATCAAATTAACATGGGAGATTCAATATTTTCCAAAATTGAAGCCCCACTAGGACAATATTCTAGAGATGATGTAGTGTGATAATCATGCACAATACCTAGAAAGCTTGTATAGGACTCTAAAGAGGTATGAAGCAGCCAACAATGTCTCTTGGTGACATTTTTTCAATTCCAAAATTGACAAAAATCAACACAAAAAGTCAAAAATGTACAACTAGTGACCACCATGTAGTTTTGATGTAGCCCATAACATAGAAAATAGAAGAGGAGTCCAGAATTGGAGGCCCACCAACTTTAAAATTGGGTGGAAAATAACCCAAAACCTAATCAAACCCTAATAAAGTACAAGACGATTGGCCTAATATTTGTTGATCCTTTATTTGTGCTTTGTTTGTTTTAATTTCTAATTTATGTTTTTATTATTTTATTGAAAAATCATTCTCATACTAAGAGAAATTAATTTTAAGCACACCCAAAAATTTTATTCAACTAAATCATGATATATAATTATTAGACATTCTTTTTTTACAAGTAAATTTGAAGATGATGATAGTAAAGATTTCACATGAAAATGGATTTATCAACCTTTAATAGTTATTTATGAATTAAATAATTTATTGATTACTCAATAAAAGTTGAAATTTTGAATACATTAACATTTGTGATGAAAATAAGTCAAATTAATGGCCTATAAATTAAATGCTGAAGTTTCACATCGTGAAACTCTCATGTGCTAATGTCACATACTCTCTCAATGTCCAACCAATCGTCCCATAGTCCTCTATCATCACAATGCCCAAACCTACATGTATTTCTTCTTAAGGATCCGTATAGTGCACATTTCTCCTTTATATAGGGGCAGGGGCCACCAATTAGCAATTGTGTTCCCCTTGACTCTTGCATCAACTGTTGCATAGGAGCTACTAAAATTTATCTATGGTACTATTGCCATCTGATGCAGGACAGGACGAAAGCCCCCTATACTTGATCAATGAAACTCGCGTCCCAAGATGGGGCAGTCGTACTGATCTGATAAGAATGTTTGGACCTTAGACTCTAGGTTTGACCACGTAACCTAAGCACAAGCAAGCGTACCAATATGCGTGATCAACCTAGGACAACCCAAGGAAACACTCAACGATGGTAAGTGAGAGGCCTTCTCGGTCCACGTCTGGACAGACGGCGGAACAATCGTCGTGAGGTAGCCTAGGGCTGCAGCTCACGAACGGTGGCGAATCTGGCGTTGCGTCGGAAGTCACGATCCGATAACCATCCTATCATGTCTACGTTCTCCTGATGGCAGAAAAGACGAGCCAAGAAAACCCTTCGAGAGATAATTAAACTTAAGAGAAAGGGGTATGGAGCTAACCTTTGGGGCTGCGTAGCCCAGCGGGTCGTGACGGAGCGAAGATCCGACGAAGGCAGAGACGTCCGGTGAAGAGCGATGCTCAGCGTCGACGGTCGGTCCTGGTCGAGAGTCACGGAAGTCGTCGTCTTAGGGCGGCACAGTCGACGTGGGCGTGGGCCTGCAGGTGGGCCAAAGGGCACGCTAGCGGGCGTGGGCCCGCTGGTGGGCCGAAGGGCACGCGGGCAGTGGCGCCGGGTGGGCGCGCGGGCCGCAAGAGCCGGCGCGCGGGGGCGCGCGCGGCGGCAGCGCTTCGGCGGGAAGGCCGAGCGTCTGCGGCGCTTCGGCAGGAATGCCAAGCGTCAGCGGCGCTTCGGCGGGAGTGCCGAGCGTCGACGTTCGGCGGGAAGGCCGAGCGTCAGCGGCGCTTCGGCAGGAATGCTGAGCGTCAGCGGCGCTTCGGCGGGAATGCCGAGCGTCAGCGGTTGGGCGGAGACCCAACC